ATCAAAAAATAAACATTAACTTAACTTTGTGTAATTAGATAAAATCAATATAAAACGAGGAAATTTTCAAAGTTTAATGGTATCAAAAGTGCCATTTATGCACCTGTTACAAAGCATATATAAGTTGAATTTATCTTAATATATCTGTCTACAACATGTTTATATGTATTTTCATATATAATTATGTTAAAATTCGTAGTAATGAATTATCTATTCAATCAATTAAGGATGTTAAGATACCAGCAATCGAGTGAGCCACTTTTTGTTTACAATAAAACTGACAATATATGCTAATGTCTTATACTATGAAACGTAAAAACTTTATAACGCTTCATGGACTCTTATATTTGTTTGTTTGCCTTTTTCTATCTCTTAGTGGCGGTCGTACCTTGATAACTTACCAGTAATTACCAATTTCTCCGACTACTTTTTACTTATCACACTTGATTTCTAAATCGCTGTTGAGAGACACTGATGATTGGACTCAATGTACTAAATTGACGACATCACTTGTCACGGAGAAATTTCACCTCGTCCATGGATCGAACCAGTGACTCCTCAATTACTAATCTGATAAGCTAAGCGGGTATGACAGGAGATATAAACATGAATAATGTAAATGAAACAATGTATGTTCAGCATGCTTTGATCATCACTAATAGATAAGCGTCATTGCACTTTTGAACATTATTCTATGAATAAAGTGTTTAATAGTATAATTCTTTAACATTTTCAAATAACTGAGAAGAAACATTTAAGTGCACAGCTGCTGTTTTGATTAGTAAAAGAAGCAGCTAATTTCCTCAGGGATATTGTTGCGTTATTTAGATAATTTCCTGCTCAATTGCAATGGTAAGAAACCTCCTCAGCTGTTTTTACAGAATTTAATACTGACTGCGGAAAATACTTACACATGTTTTTGGGGGCGATTCGGGTGTTAAATGAGGTTATGGTAGATTGATTAAATACATTTAATTTCAATTAAAACGAACGTTTATTATAAAAGAAAATCATTCTTTAACATGAACAAAACGTTCGATTCGAATACAGCTTACAAACAAAAATAAAGAAAATGAAAAACACTAATTTTACTAACTTATTAATAATTATTAAATATGAATTTCCAAATTAAGTTTTACTTAACTTCAATATGATAAGATTTCTTTTATTTAGTTTTCTATTGCATATATGCACATATAACATATTACATGCTGTATACTTTAAATTAGAATTAAAATAAATCTAAATTGAAAATATGTAAATTGAATAAAATATTATGTTTATAAAAATATTTCGGACAAATCAATCATTTTGCAATTTACATAATGTGAATAATGTTAGTTTATTGTTTCCTTGTTTTAATGATAAAAATAGAAATGATGTAACAGTATCAGCGAGTCTCAGATCACATAAAATATTCTTGCATATCAGACTGGCGTTTCCGTTAGTTTTACCCATGCCGGAAATTTCATCTGGCATGGGGGTTCCAGATGAGTCGCGTGCTGTACACTGGCACGATAAAGATGACGTCATTTTACCGTTATGAATGATTTTGTAATTCATACGCTGTTGAATGAAAGTAGTTACGGTTGTAATGATATAAATTGTCATTGAAAATAAAGATAAAGAATTTAAAATATAATGGAATATGGTAGAATATGCAAGAAAAAATATCTGACATATGTTTGCGGTTCGGATCGGAATATCCGTCCCTCGGTCACCCGCCCATGGGCGGTAACTCGGCAAGCCTCGTTACCGCCCAATGGGCGGGTCACCTCGGGACGGATATTCCGATCCGAACCGCAAAATATGACAGATATTATTAGTCTTTTAACGTGTAACATTAAGATTCCATGATAACCGCCATATGAACACATTTGAGGATGTTTCTAAATTCAAAATTTCATCATTTTCACGTTTAAATGTTGAATTCTGCTTAAGCCGGTGCTAGGGGTGTGAATGGTAACTTGCACTTTCCAGTACCGTCCATGAACAGGCTTTTTAATTTTGTCGTTTTGGATTCTGTTATTCTATTTTAAAGTGACGGTATTGTTGATTAAACATTTTGGTTGATTGATTAACACTATATTGATATTAATTTAACAAAAAATATTCCTAGTTCATTCGTTTCATTTACGATCTTCAGAGAGAGATATATAAACCTTTTCTTATAATATTAACCATAAACAATCTTGATCCTTGAAATTGTTCGAACTCTACAGAGAATTTTGTTTTGATTGATTAAAAGATGATTAACTTGAACAAATTCATCATAAATTTCTCAAAAATCTGTCTAAGAAACAAACGTGAATAAGTCTTCAATTACCTACCAGATGAAATACCTGACATAGCGAAAATGTTATTCAATTTATTTCTGTGTTGGCTTGCAGCTCGCAGTTTTTAATGATCATTGTTTAATTCAAATACATGTACTGTATATTTTTCATGCATTTGGCAAAATCAAATAATGGTATACTTTATAAATTTCCGCTCGCTGTTCCTATGAGTGAAATATACACGTAATATGTTTAACGAAGTCTACTTTCAAACAATTAACAAAAACAGCTACTCCACTGATCAGTCGAAAGTAAAAAGTGTAAACGTTAAAGCTTTATCATGTATTTTTTGTCACATTCAAAAAAATCAATCCCCTGAAGCTCCTCTTTATAGTATGAATATATTGATGTTATGTCTTTAACGATATGAATTTTGTGTAGCTAGGGGGACAATTCTTCAGTGCATAAAAAACAGTAAACTGCTGTGATATGGTCTTTGGAGTTGTCTCCCTTAGAAGCCAAAGTAAATAGTCTCTTGTAATTCTGTTTAGGATGATGTATCTTATGTTTTATGTTTTATACTTACTACTTGCAAACATAATCGTGTTTTATATCTTTTAAGCCAGACTAGCCTGTAAATGGTTGTTCATTGTTTTGTATAATGAAATCCCGTAAAATGATATAAACTGTTGAGGTTCAGAGTTCAGGTGATTATTGTTGTCCCTAGAAACGTATTTTTTCAAGCTAATTTTTGGTAACAAACATGAATAGTTTGTCTGCATATTTTGATGATATTAAAATAACAATGCATATTAAACAAATAATCTTCTGTAAAAAGGGTAATTAAAAACATCAACCAAAAAAACACACCATGTGACAGAAACATTAGATTAGTACGCCTTACACAAATGAGTCGGTCAAATATCGATAAACGTCTTTTCTTCAAGGGAAGTTACTGCATCAATATATTTAAGCGTCCTGTCGGAACAAATTGTCGCAGACAAATATTCATTAATATTCATAATTATCTCAAGCATTGAGTGGATAGATACATGTATATTACTTGTTAAAATTCTGATAATTTATGTTTTTTACTCTTTTTTTCTTATTTTACAAGTCTAAATAGATTTGTAATATGTTCTCTACATGTTTAGATCTCGTTCTATTTAGGAGTCAAATATTAAGTTGCGTCATCTTTCATGTTACTAATATCTTCTAACAATAAAAAAGCAAAACTTTAACAGCCGACCAATTATGATGTTCTTTTTGGGCAGATTTGAGTGAAATATGATAAACAAGATCAACAAGAAAAGGCGGCGGTCAATGAACCATTTCATGTTTAATGTTGAATTGTGCTTAAGTCGGTGCTAGGGGGCGTAAATGGTAGTTTGCACTTCAAAGTAATGAACAGGCTCAATCAACATTTCCAATTTTGCCATAATGGACTTTCTTTGGGGATTCATATTTTCTCTATTTCACATCTTCTGAATCAGCATATATATTAGCAAATAAGTCCATGTTTTGCCCTACACAACCCCTTTCTCAAATTAGTTTTGCATTTGCGTTTTGCTGTATATTTAGTTTAAATGAATATGTTAAGGAAATTGCAGGTACACAATAGAATATTTTGTCATTTTCCTAGTGTACAGACAGCGGCCTACACGGGGAGGTACCTGCACGAAATGTGCCTGTTTAGTGCTAAGGCGTGCGAATGATATTAATAGCACCTTTTACTATCTGTTATAGACAGACGCTCTGAAACCAAGTCTGCAATTTTTACATAATATATCTTTGCTTCCGATTGATCTTCACAACTGAACCTTTCCAAATTTAACTTATTCCTAAATTGTAGAAAATTGATGTCTTCCAAACTGACAATAGATGATTTTATTGTCAAAACTGCAATGTGGCATCTTACTACAATATATGCTGTATAATGTCATTATTCTGTTTTAATTCTGGTCTTTTGTACTTTATCTTATCTCTGAGACTTAAAAGTATTACAAATATTTTAAGTCTCAGCTTATCTGTTTGGCCGTATACTTTTTTTATCCGTCTCCTGAACTAACCAGTACTCATTAATCAAGAAATAAAAGTTTGAGCCTTCTAGCTCTGGTAAAAAATATTGGATCAGACTTGAAATAAAGTTTCTTTAATCATATAAAAAATACCAAGTCTTAAAAATAATGTCATCAGCACAATGGTCATCTTATTTAATGGAAAAAACTCAAGAAATACACTTGTACTGACCTAGGTCGAGAAACACGTCCACTTGAATGCCGCCAAGAAAGGTGTAACGTTTTAAGGAACACAAACCCTGTTGGTGAAAAGCTATATATGGCTTTCCACCAAGAGTGGTTTGTGTCTTTATGATATGGAAAACATTTTCTTATGTTAATTTACCGACTTTAGTTTTGCATATTATTATTCTTGTTATTAGTATTATGACGATCTACCAACGTTAATTACTGAAAAATGTACCTCAACCGTCTTTGCACAAAAACAAGAAATTACATGAAAATACATGAACTTAATAACATGAATTACATGGCGGCTTAAAAGCATGCAAATCACGTAAACATGATCAAGTTGTTCAAAGAAAAAATCGAAAAAAAACAAAACTTAGTACTTGGAAAATTAGTGGCGTCTGACCTATGAAGTGTTACCGATGATTGACGATTAACAATCGTAATTTCTCGTCCTTTTCCGTCAAATTCCGAATATGACGATTGGGTTGTCAATATAAATAACCCATAATGCTTTGCGAAATTTTTTAGCTCAAGTAAACGTCAAATTTCAGGAATGACAAAATTTACCTTGTTATCTTACTTGTAACGGATTATCTTATCAAATACACACATAAATATAATTTTAACAGGTAAGATACCATCCATACTGCTGCTTTCTGTAGTATCACGGGTTTAAAAGGGAGTCGTGCTCAGTGTTTATCGTTTCGTGCTCAGGTAATGTCGAACCACCTTATTGTTGACTGTGTCGTTAGCTGAATGTTTCGAAGTGAATGTTTTACACTGCCGACTTAGGCATAAAATAGGCAACTCTTTAGACAACCGAAATATTATGAACAAATCATAGATTACTTTTGAATTTCAGATTTGTGTTGTAAATTGTGAAAAACAAATCATGAATTTTCTTGGAATTGTGAAGTTTAAGCATTTTTTCCCCTTAAAATTGTGACAGAAAAAGAGTGATATCACAATTTTTGAAAATCAGTTAACAAGCTTTATAGTATCAAAGCAGTTTCCATTAAAAAAATGAGGTTATTTCAAAATATTTGAAATAGAAAAGATCTATTCAGAGAATATTTCTGATCAAAATATAATTTTATTATTAGATAGTGCCTTTATTAGGGCCCATTAGTGGCGGTTATGTCTTGTTTTTGTGAATTACAACTGTCGGAAGTCTTCTGTTATTCACCAGCACAAGGGAGGAACTTGTGTTTTTAATTAAAGCATAAATATATGAGCAACAATTATAGCATACATGTATTTAAGATCACTCATGCGAACAATGTAAACATACCTGCTTGCAATATGTTAAGATGATAATGATAAAATAAAATGTTTATTTTTGTTTGAAAAATATGGTCCAGGATTTCCTTAGATGAAAGCATTAAGGAAAAAGACACAGCTTTCAATTTGAAGAATTTTTAAAAACGAAAATCTCTGTTTTAACTAATTACTATTAGGCGAGTTTTTGAGATAGTAAAATAATTCAAATTAAAATACACCATGGAACACAAAATATTTCTTAATAACAGCGTGAAAAATTGTTGCATAGATTGTCAATTTTTTAACTAAGTTGTAAAATTAGTCTGTTTTCAGACCATTCTGTTTGAAAGACCTTTGTTGTTAATACTAACTTGGAATACGTTAAAGTAGGGCAAACTTGTAAATATAATTTGTAATTTTCTTGTATTACTGTTTTTGGCAGTATTCAGTATATGAGTAATCCAAGAAATTTTAGAAAATAGTGTTTCTTTCAGTTGTAAAACTTTCAAGTTTAAAGGGTAGTCCAATGCAATACTGATTTTCACAGGGCTTGTTATAGTTATAGTATAGGTGTTACTCTGCTAAAAAGTACAAATATCTCATAGCAACGTCATACCTATACAAATGTAGGACTAGTTTATAGTGGTCATGTTTACAGGGATTCTATAACTTCATTTCTGCCCTGTTAAGGCTGACACAATAAGCTTTCACTTAGCATGAGCAGCATCAGATGGTCCATTTTCTAAAATAGCACCATTAAATATTACTTAATATCCCCTTAACAGAGCTTTATTACATATTTTTGTAAAGAGCATAACTTGACATGATGTATCAGCCTGAAACTTCATAGATGGATAGATCTTATGTAGACCTAGTGCAGTGCAGATCAACCATAACTCTTTAATTTATAACTTTTGGGGTTATTGCCCTTGATGATACTTCAAGATGAGTTTTTATGTAGAGTAAAACATGGAGACTATAAAAGATATCAGCATATAACTTCACTACAGGAGATCTTTACAAAACAATATTAACTCTGACAGGGTTGAAAATGCCAACATAGCATAAGCATGTCATAAGCAACCATGACTGTACTGTGTATAACAAAAAAGCAGACATGTTTATGCAAAACTTTTATTACAAAATCACCTAACAATGCATTTCCACACCTCAAAATAAAATATTCTCATGTATCAATTCCCTATTGAATTTGACAAAGTTGCATATGGTGGTATTTGCTCGAGGACAGTGATAGTTTTAGTTTCCTCATTTAGAAAATATTATTGAGATGATATTGTACTATTATGTCATGTTTAAACCATATTGTAACAGAATTTCTCTTGTTTAGTCGTTGATGACTTACAAACTGTTTCAACTGTTTTTAGTAAGATTGTAAATTTAATAGGATGTTTTATGAAAAAAAGAATACTTAGGAAATTTACATGTACAAATTGCCTGTCATTGGGTTTATGTTTTTGTCTTTGGAAAGCGAGAAATAATGTTAACCATTTTCTTTATCATTTAAACAGTACAAGAAGCATTACATGCGTCAAAGTTGAAGTGATTTTTTTGTAAATTTTGTTTATATCACCTGTGATATACATGTATATACCGGTATAGACTTGAAAAACTACAAAACATGCGTGCCAGTGACATAATGTATTATAAAATATTGATCAACTTTTGAACGAAAAAAAAGACCTAACAATATGGGCTAAGATTACCATCAATATTTCATTCCCATGTCATGAATTATTTATATGAAATTATTTATTTATATCATATATTATATCTGATTGTATATTATTCAATAGGTTTCAACTTAATTTGTTTTATACTTCCTGTATTTATACTACAATTCTAGTGTTGATTCAACATTCATATTGTTCATAAAAGTAGAAATACAATGGGCAAACTTATAAATACGAAATCAGTGAATATGATAACAGATTAGATGAATTATTTTCTAGACTTTCAGTTAAGCAGAAAGTCATCATTTATATATACAGTTGCATTGTGATTTACAAACCAAACAAAACAATTAAAAAAACAACTATACAATGACAATGTAAATAATAGTGTCACAACTTTATGATTGTATATGAAAATATAAAAAATTGTGCTCTCTGTACTTTTATTATCTTCAAATCTATTCATTAATATTATATTGTTTGGGAGATTTGATGGTCTTATTGTAATGAGGGCCATTGTACAGTGTTATACCTGTAACACTGTTTTCAGTTTGGCAACAAGTGAACACATGTATAGCTTTTCTTTAATTTTTCATTTAATAATTTATAGAAATTACTGAAATATGAAAGAACTTGTTTTATGTCTTAAAGGAATGTAACAAAGTGAAAATCTAGAATGAAAAATTGATTATATTCAAGTTTAAAATAGAAATCTCTTCTGGGTAAAGATAAAATATTTATGTCCTAGGGTGAATTATACATAAATAATTCTACAGTCAAGGAATATAAGATTTTGAATTTACTGGCCCGAATTTCAGTATTGAATTTATTCTACTATATATTTAACTAAATTTTATTAAAATTTTCACTGGCCCGAACTAAGTTCACTGGCCATAGGCCAGTGCTAAATTAGATGACTGATTCTATGCGATATAAGACATTGTAAAGAAATTTCCTTATACCAACATTCTCTAATTATTGTCTCAAAAAGTTTGTTTTCTTTTTCAAGCCTTTTACACCGGTATTTTATAAATGAATGAATATTAAGAGGATATTTTTTCGTTTGAGTGAAATATGGAATATATATTTTCACGAAACATGATAAAATGCCACATATTTTCACGAGCCAGGACGGCGAGTGAAAATATTATATGTGGCATTTTATCATGTTTAGTGAAAATATATACCATATTTCACGAAAACGAAAAAATAACCTTTTTATTTAATTTCATTATCAAAGAAAAATGGTTACGAACCCCCTTGCTTGCTACGCAACTGCAATTGTACAGCGCACAGTAATATAGTTATTTCTTGTTTTGCACGCGATATTTAGCACTACATTAACAACTCTAAAAACGTCTATACAGCGTTAATGACTGAATTAAAGATATTGGTGTTCAGATTAATTTTCTTAGTTAGACCGTTTTCTATCTTTCTAGATAGTTTCCAAAACGAAATTCAACAAAAAGTTGTTTTGTAAAACAAAATAGCAAAAGAAGCCCCTTAAAATAAATATGAGTTTTGACTCCGCCCACTTTCATATTTATATTTCATATTTATTTTAAAAAAACATGAAATATATTTGACTGATATAGCACCATATTTCATGGATAAAATCAATATTGAACCATTTACTAATATTATTCTTTTTCATATTTGAAAAACAAAACATTTGATATTCAGATTAAATGTTTAAAAAAACAATATGTACTTAATATGTATTTGTTTAACCTTTTGATATACTAGGTCAGTTAAGTTTGTTAACAAAATTAATATTAAATAGATGCCAGAACAGTATTACTGAACTTAAATTAAACAACTTTAAAGTCATTTTTGCATATTACTTGAAGTCTCTAAATGCCTTTTATTTGAAAAAAGTGGCTTCAAAATCATTATATTTTCCATAAATTATGTAATTGTATGTTTTATAACATTTTTTATCCTGTAAAGTTAGTGCTGATGCCATGATATTTAGAATTATTTTTTTCAAATACTGGGCATTTTGGATTCAATATTACAAGTACCGGTAGTGACATTAATTTTGTAAAAAAAATTACTTTTTTTGTCTTGATGTAGATCTATATGTTTTCCATATCAAATTCACTATTAAAAAAATGCATTTCCTGTTTCAAGAAACATTATTATCATGATTAACACTTTTTAGTTTTTTTCATCATTTCAGCCTTTATTACAATTTTAACCGGAGAAAAAGAAGAACAAATTTAAGCCATGGCTGAGTGCGTAAAGGTCATAGTGCGATGTCGGCCTATGAACAAAAGAGAAGAAGATCTCAAATGTAAATGTGTAATAGAGATGACTGGGGCTCGGGCGCAATGTGCCATTACTAACCCTGGGGACGCTAAAGCACCACCGAAAAGTTTTACATTTGATGGAGCATATTTTGTTGACTCGACAACAGAAAATATATATAATGAAATTGCATACCCACTTGTGGAGGTAAAGTCTTATTTTTCAAGAACTATTGTAAAATACCAAAAAATCAAAAATCAAAAATCTCATTTTGTTAAAGCTGCACGCCTCCAGATGAGCCAAAATATTTCATGAAATTCAGATCTTAAGAAAAGTAAAAAGGTTTAATATTTAATTAATAATTTACATGTCAAAAGCGATTAATGACTGATTTTACAGTATCAACTGTGTTACTAACGCAGTAAGAGGTATTTATGTTTTTTGGTAATTAATGTGGATTGTAAGTGCTGTTTGCAATGTATAAATTACTTTCTTTGTTCACTTCACAGTATTTTACTTTAAAATACATTTTCAAAACTTTCATGAAAATTCGCATAAATCTGAAGGCATGCTGCTTTAATAATACGACATTTTTATTATAATGTAAAGAGATCAAATTAGATGTAATCTGTTCTTGATGCTCTTACATTTTATAATGTATTGTATAATTATGAGGTTTAAACTACAAGTGGTTTTATGGAGATGATGAAACTTATTTAAATTAAATCTAGCATACTAAGTATGTTTTTCAGGCCAATGTCATTATGAATGTCTCACATTTGGTAATATTGTGTTATTTGAAATTTTGTGAGATATGAATCGCATCAGAGTCTGAGAGACTTTTGATTGTTCCATGTGAATGTGGTACCCAGTTAGCTTATGAAAGGTTGGTGGTTCTACTCTAGTGCCACATGTACATGAAATAATACACAACATTAATGATAGATAAAGGGGGGGGGGGGTCGACCATGATCTTCCTCCATAGGTAAAGCAGGAAAATTGCCATAATGACCTTAGTGTTGAAGTTGCTTAAATCCTTACAAAAAAGATGGAAAAAATAACTAAACAATTAAGAAAGCAAACTTTTATTTTGTCTTCTTGTTTTGTTGGCAATTGTTCTCAAATAGTGTATATACGTGTACATGTGATAATTACAATAGTGGAACTGTGGGTAATCTGTTATAAACTATGTTAGAGTAGTGACATTTTTATGAAATACAAGGTGTAGAAATAATCTATTTCAATTGATTTATTATCTTTAAGCAGTGTTTAAACAATCCATTGAAGTGCATTAAGAGATTTTATTTAAAGTCATTGTGGGGGGAAAAACAGCTTTTTTATTAAACCATTGTCTGCCCATGCATTGAAATAAAATTTTCAATTTCCTCTCAACAAATTGTAACATTGATTTTTAGATAAAATGAAATAAAAAGTTTTACTACTTTTTATTTACAAAGCCAAGGGTAGGATTTTCTTTTTACATATATGGTTTGGTCTGATTTTCCTACTTTCTATGTTATTTTAAGATATTTTGTTATATTTTTTTTAAATAATCTATTTTTGTCTTGAAACATCTTTATTATGCCCCTACTTTTGGTGAATATAGGTGGATATAGATTTGCCCCTGCCCGTCCAGTTCTCACTCTTTCCTGCTGTCAAGCTGTCCATCCGTAGACTGATAAAATAGTGGTTTGTTATGATATAACAAAATCAGTATAAGATTACGGTACCCCACTTTATCAATGAATTGTTTAGCATGAATAACAGCATTCTTATAATATATCGGTAAATTACCTTTAACCAGGAAGAGGGAAATATTGAAAATATCTCCTAATAAAAGACATATATAATATAATATATAAAGTTCAGATTACTAGTTTACCAATATATACAAGGAAGTAATATTAGTGCCATTAAAGTAGATCTGTTGTCAGTTTATTGCTAATGTAATTATATAAAAGTCTGCTGAACTTGTGTTTTTGTACTATAAAGGTGCAAATACATGTATTATGCCAACACTATTGTGAAAAACATCTTAAATAACAGAACCATGTTTACACTTTTATATAAAGTTAGACTTTATAAATAAATATTTTAACACTGATTTGTGTGACTTAACCTTTACCCTGCTGGCAGCAACTGTTTCTACCCTTGTGCCAACTGTTTCTACCAATGTGCCAACTGTTTCTACCAATGTGTCAACTGTTTTTACCAATGTGCCAACTGTTTTACCTATGTGGCAACTGTTTCTACCCATGTGCCAACTGTTTCTACCAATGTGCCAACTGTTTTTACCAATGTGCCAACTGTTTTACCTATGTGGCAACTGTTTCTACACATGTGCCAACTGTTTCTACCTATGTGGCAACTGTTTCTGCCCATCCAGCCACCGTTTCTACCCATGTGTCAACTTTTTCTACCAATGTGCGAACTGTTTCATCCTATCTGGCAACTGTTTCTGCCCATCCCGCCACCGTTTCTACCCATGTGGCAACTTTTTCTACCAATTTGCCAACTATTTCTACCTATGTGACAACTGTTTCTGCCCATCCAGCCACCGTTTCTGACCATCCAGCAACTGTTTCTACCCATGTGCCAACTATTTCTGCCCATATTCCAACTGTTTCTACCTATGTGGCAACTGTTTCTATCCCTCCAGCAACTGTTTATACCCATGTGACAACTCTTTCTACCCATGTGCCAACTGTTTCTACCCATGTGGCAACTGTTTCTACCTATGTGACAACTGTTTCTACCCACGTGGCAACTATTTCTACCTATGTGACAACTGTTTCTGCCCATCCAGCCACCGTTTCTGACCATCCAGCAACTGTTTCTACCCATATGTCAACTGTTTCTGCCCATGTGCCAACTGTTTCTACCTATGCGCCAACTGTTTCTGACCCTTCAGGAACTGTTTCTATCCATGTGGCAACTGTTTCTACCCATGTGCCAACTATTTTTTTTACCCATGTGGCAACTATTTTTTTTATCTATGTGGCAACTGTTTCTGACCATCCAACAACTGTTTATACCCATGTGGCAACTGTTTCTACCAATGTGACAACTGTTTCTGCCCATACAGCCACTGTTTCTGACCATCCAGCCAACGTTTCTACCCATGTGCCAACTATTTCTACCTATTTGACAACTGTTTCTACCTATGTTGCAACTGTGTCTACCCATGTGGCAACTGTTTCTATCTATGTGTCAACTGTTTCTACCCATGTGGCAACTGTAAATATCTATGTGGCAACTTTGTTTTTACCTTTGTGGCAACTGTTTTTGTACATGCTGGAACTTTTTCTACCCTTTCTACCCATGTGGCAAACGGTTCTACCTATGTGGTAACTATTTCAACCCATTCCAAGATCGAGTGACACATGTGCCGTCTGATCATGGTCTGCACTGCCATTTATTCAGTTGTTAATTTGAAGTCCTTTTAAGATATTTAGTGGGGTATGGCTTAATTTTTTTCATACATGATACTTATACCAAATATTTTATTTCCCAGCTTATAAGACCTGATTTGGTTTAATTTTCCTGTGAAGCAACTTGTAATGTTTTATTCTGTAGGGCGTGACAGAGGGATACAATGGTACAATATTTGCCTATGGGCAGACTGGATGTGGAAAGTCATTTACAATGCAGGGAATTCACGACCCACCTACCCAGAGAGGTATCATTCCAAGGTATGTTAAATATTTGAAAGTTTGCAGCTACAGTTTTGTATCCTCTATTTTGTAATGTTGGTTTTACTTATGTATAGCCCAGATTCATTTTAAGCCATGCCAGTACTGTACTATAAATGTTTGACAAGTGTATTATAATATAACACATAGTGAAACTTAATGTGAGATTCTGTAGGTCATCCCACATGTATCATCATTATATATAAGTTACATTTAACTTACTATATGTATGACATTCTACTTATTCAAGAATTGTTTAGAACAGTTAGCACTAATCTTGTCAGGGTGAGCATATAGGTAAATTATTAAATAATTGCTATAGGGAATTAAAAGCTAGAAAATTATTGTGTAATAAGGTTATTTAATAAATGAAAGGATCTAAAGAATTCTGTTACTTTCTATTTATATACTAGTAATAATTATTTCCCTTAAGACTGATGAATTGCCTTTAATTGTTGGGACATCAGAATGGCAGCCACTGTTTTTATCCGTGCTTGATTGTAAGAGGTGACTAAATGGATTCAAACAACTTGAATCTATGCATCTCTTGGCTCCAGTAGATGAGGTGGTTTCGACCCCTGGTGTTGCTTTGATGATTGTAACACCCGAGGTTAGCCAAAATCATTTTTCCTGCTTGAGCGCCAAATGACCTTAACTGTGTTGGTGTGCCATAGGACCAAACAAAAAACAAAAATTTTACTAATTAATCGTAATAATATATTATATTTACACAGAGCATTTGACCATGTATTTGAGACAGTATCTTGTGCTGACGACACAAAGTTTTTGATCCATGCATCATATTGTGAGATATACAATGAAGAGATACGTGACCTGCTGGGCAAGGACATCAAAGCCAAGCTTGAACTTCATGAACATCCAGAAAAAGGCGTATATGTCAATGGTATAAAACGTTTTAGTTCAGTTTAGAACAGACTCAATCAAACCAAGTCTGCAATTCTCATGTTAAAGTGACAGGGTGAGCTTTTGTGATCGCCTTTCGTCTGGCGTCCGTCTGGCGTCCGTCCGTCGTCTGTAAACTTTTACTTTAAATGACAACTCCTCTTAAACCACTAAGCCAATTTCACCCAAACTTCACAGGAATGTTCCTTTGGTGGTCACCTTTGAAAATTGTTCAAAGAATTTAATTCCATGCAGAACTCTTGTTGCCATGGCAACCAAATAAATAAACTTTAAATATCTTCTTCTAAAAAAACCCAAGAGCTAGAGCTTAGATATTTGGCATGAAACATCTTCTAGTGAGTATCTACCAAGTTTGTTCAAATAAAAGCCCAGGGGTCAAAATTGGCCCTGCCCCAGGGGGTCATTGATTTTCCCTATATGCATATAGTAAAAACTTAAAAAATCTTCCTTTAAAGAACCCAAAGAGCTAGAGCTAAGATATTTAGCATGAAACATGTTCTAATGGATGTCTACCAAGTTTGTTCAAAAAAGAGCCCTGGGGTCAAAATTGGCCCCGCCCTGGGGGTCATTGATTTTCCTTATATGTGTATAGCAAAAACTTAAAAAATCTTCTTTGAAAAAAAAACAAATAGCTAGAGTTTAGATACTTAGCATGAAACATCTTCTAGTGAGTGTCTACCAAGTTTGTTCAAATAAAAGCCCTGGGGTCAAAATTGGCCCTGCCCTGGGGGTCATTGATTTTCCTTATATGTGTATAGCAAAAACTTAAAAATCTTCTTTGAAAAAACTCAAATAGCTAGAGTTAAGATATTAAGCATGAAACATTTTCTAGTAAATGTCTACAAAGATTGTTCAAATAAAAGCCCAGGGGTCAAAACTGGCTCTGCCCCAGGTGTGTCATTGTTTTTAACTATATGTGTAAAGAAAAAACTTTAAAAAATCTTCTTTTAAAAAAACCAATGAGCTAGACCTTAGATGTTTAGCATGAAACATCTTCTAATGGGTGTCTACCAAGTTTGTTTAAATAAAAGCCCTGGGGTTTAAATTAGCCCGCTCCGGGGGCCTATATACAGGTGAGCGACTTCAGGGCCATTATGGCCCTCTTGTTTTGCTGTTTTTAGTGCTTCCGAGGGATTACTTTTTTTTCAGACATTTATTATATAAACTTTATAGAGAATTTTTCCTTCTCTTCCTGCCCATAGTCCTTATTGATCTTGAGATTTCTGAGTAACTTTACAGAAAATTGATTTGTAAATTTAAATAGTTTAATCCTATGAGATGATGATTTGATTGCATTAATGGCATTCTTATAAGAGCATTGTAACTATATTCTATACATTTGACTAATTATAAGTTGATTAATTTTTGCATTTTTATGCCCCCACAGAGTGGGAGCATATAGCGTTGCACTTGTCTGTCCGAGTGTCAGTCCGTCAGTCCGTCCGTCAGTCCGTCCGTACGTCCCGAAATCTTGTGAACACAACTCCTCTTAAACTGGATGGTAGATTTTGCTTAAACTTACAGGGATGAACAACCTTAATGTGTAGATGGTAGTAAAGGAAGGAATTTTCGCTGCGACCAAATTTAACAGAATTATGGCCCTTTGTTGATTTTTTCACTAGATACTAGGAAGAAATTTTGTGAACGCAACTCCTCTTAAACCGCATGGCAGATTTTGCTCAAACTTACAGGAATGAACAACCTTAATGTGTAGATGGTAGTAAAGGAAGGAATTTTTGCTGCGACCAAATTTAACAGAATTATGGCCCTTTGTTGATTTTTTCACTATATACTATGTAGAAAATTTTGTGAACGCAACTCCTCTTAAACCGCATGGCAGATTTTGCTTAAACTTACAGGGATGAACAACCTTAAGGTGAAGATGGTAGTAAAGGAAGGAATTTTTTTGCTGCGACCAAACTTTACAGAATTATGGCCCTTTGTTGATTTTTTCACTATATACTATATAGAAATTTTGTGAATGCAACTCCTCTTAAACCGGATGGCAGATTTTTGCTTAAACTTCCAAGGATGAACAACCTTTATGTGTAGATGGCAGTAAAGGAAGGAATTTTCGCTGCAAACAAATTTAACAGAATTATGGCCCTTTGTTGATTTTTTCATTATATACTATGTAGAAATTTTGTGAACGCAACTCCTCTTAAACCAGATGGCAGATTTTGCTTAAACTTCCAGGGATTAACAACCTTAATGTGTAGATGGTAGTAAAGGTAGGAATTTTTGCTGCGACCAAATTTAACAGAATTATGGCCCTTTGTTGATTTTTAGTTTTCAACTTGTGGCACATGTAGTCCAAAAAATATTTGACCTAGAGTCATAAGATTGACAGAACAGTGGTGTGTGGGGGCATCCGTGTCCTATGGACACATTTCTAGTTGATAATGAAATACCTGAACAGCAAAATCTCATTTTGACTTAATTGTCTAGAAATGGAATTCTTCTTATAATTTCTTCATTTGTTTCAGGCCTGTCTACACATCCAGTTCACAGTGTTGTAGAATGTAACAAGATTATGGAGAAAGGTTGGAAAAATCGGTCAACCGGAGCCACTCTGATGAACGCTGACTCGTCCCGCAGTCACTCTATATTTTCAATCATGTTAGAAATGATGTCAGCGGACGAGGAAGGGGAGGAACATATACGAGCCGGAAAACTTAATCTCGTAGATTTAGCTGGTAGTGAAAGACAAGCAAAAACAGGTAATGTATTACTTTGACTAGGTTTTTTGCAGCATGTAATAAAATAATATTGTGATAAAGTAACAAGAAATCATAAAAAGAAGAAGTCCTTTTTCATTTCACTTAAAAATGTGACTTTTTATTACTTTATAAAAGGCAAGAGATACAATTTTTATTATAAAATCAACAAAATTTATGTTTTTAGGATTTTGTTGCAAAGTGGTCATTCCTTGTTGGTCGTACCCTCTCTTTGCAAAACAGATTTTCTAATTATAAAGTTATTTTGACTGAACTATAAATAAATGTCTGTGACAATAAGGGGTGTCATGTATATGGAGATTGTGGTTATGTTTAAATGTTAAACTTGTTTTTCTTTTTATCATATTTTAAGGTGCAACTGGCAGTCGTCTGAAGGAAGCTACAAAAATTAATTTATCATTGTCTGCTCTGGGTAATGTGATATCTGCACTGGTTGATGGAAAATCAAAACATATACCATACAGAGATTCCAAACTAACACGTCTGCTACAAGACTCTCTTGGCGGGAACACAAAAACTCTCATGGTGGCGTGTTTATCTCCTGCAGACAATAACTACGATGAAACGTTGAGTACTTTGAGATACGCTAATCGTGCAAAGAACATTAAGAACAAACCAAAGATTAATGAAGATCCGAAGGATGCCCTCCTGCGTCAGTATCAGGAGGAAATTGAGAGGTTGAAGGCCATGTTGATGGGACAGATTCCCATGCCAGAAGGGGGATTTGAAGGTATTTTATATTAACTGTTTTAATTATTTTCATTCTAAATCTGTTATATAATTTAGAATTTTCATATCTCTTAGTTTTTATTATGCCCCCACAGAGTGGGAGCATATAGCGTTGCACTTGTCCGTCCGAGTGTCCGTCCGTCCGTACGTCTGTCCGTCCGCACTACCGAATAGGGATAGGGGGCCATCTAACTGTAAACAGAACAAAGGAGAACAATAGAGTTCATTCCGTAACAATAGAGTAAGGGGCCATTGGCCCTCTATTAAACAATAGAATATAACAAAAGAAATGGCCCCTTATTCCAATTTGGCCGGACGTCCGTCCGTCTGTCCGTCCGTACGTCCCGAAATCTTGTGAACGCAACTCCTCTTAAACCGGATGGCAGATTTTGCTTAAACTTCGAGGGATGAACAACCTTAATGTGTAGATGGTAGTAAAGGAAGGAATTTTTGCTGCGACCAAATTTAACAGAATTATGGCCCTTTGTTGATTTTTTCACTATATACTATGTAGAAATTTTGTGAACGCAACTCCTCTTAAAACCGGATGGCAGAATTTGCTTAAACTTCCAGGGATGAACAACCTTAATGTGTTGATGGTAGTAAAGGAAGGAATTTTTGCTGCGACCAAATTTAACAGAATTATGGCCCTTTGTTGATTTTTTCACTAAATACTATGTAGAAATTTTGTGAACGCAACTCCTCTTAAACCGGATGGCAGATTTTGCTTAAACTTCCAGGGATGAACAACCTTAATGTGTAGATGGTAGTAAAGGAAGGAATTTTTGCTGCGACTCAATTTAACAGAAATATGGCCCTTTGTTGATTTTTTCACTATATACTATGTAGAAATTTTGTGAACGCAACTCCTCTTAAACCGGATGGCAGATTTTGCTTAAACTTCCAGGGATAAACAACCTTACTGTGTAGATGGTAGTAAAGGGAGGAATTTTTGCTGCGACCAAATTTACCAGAATTATGGCCCTTTGTTGATTTTTTCACTATATACTATGTAGAAATTTTGTGAACGCAACTCCTCTTAAACCGGATGGCAGATTTTGCTTAAACTTCCAGGGATAAACAACCTTAATGTGTAGATGGTAGTAAAGGAAGGAATTTTTGCTGCGACCAAATTTAACAGAATTATGGCCCTTTGTTGATTTTAGTTTTCAACTTGTGGCACATGTAGTTCCAAAAATATTTGACCTAGAGTCATAAGATTGACAGAACAGTGACGTGTGGGGGCATCCCTGTCCTATGGACACATTTCTAGTTACAAAAGATTTAGCCATAGTGTCAACAAAATTCACTCCTGAAATTAACATATTTTTTAATTATTTCCGTTTTGTTTAATTCCAGTATATATCTAACATGTGATAGGGGTTTGTATTTATATATATTTATCACCTTTTAAGTGATTTAAACAAAACCAACATATATGAATGTATTGTTAAATGTGCTATATTATTTGCAGGTGTTATGGCAGCAGAAAGTGGTCAGAAAACAAGCCGTTCTGATAAATCTAGTAAATCTGATGACTCGGCACGTTTAGACCTAGAAGAGGAAAAGAAAAAAATAAAAGAGGTTTGATTCACTTAAAATTCTGATATTATCACAGATTCATATGGGGAAACAAAATAATTTTACCAGAATGTAATCACATTTAATGTATGATTTGTAAGTAGAATAACATAATTATTATTTATCCTATAGATATAGAGTCCTTGTCAAATAAATGTAAATTGTTATTTTATATATAGTCGTATGTTAATTAAATGAATGATTATTTATGCATAAAACTATGACATGACCACATGGACAATACTTTTATGGGGCCAGAGCCCCGTAGGGGCATTTCTTGTTTTGAAGAAAACTGGGAATTTTGTCTGTCAACAAAAATGCTCATGATGTTAATTATTACATATTCTATTTTGCAAAAAGCAAATTTCAATAAGAATTAATTGTGGATCTTGTGCTATAGGCTTGTAAAATTGAAAAGAAAATTCAATATTTTTATGGTATTTTTTTTTTTTTAATTTGGGGAAAAATATATATTGGGTAGGGGAATGGGGCCTTATTTCAGTACCAAAAATTGTGAAATTCCTGTGGTTCTAGTCCTGGCTGCGGCATGTTGATTTTTCTATGTATAATTTCCCACATATGACTCATATATATATATACATATTATATATGTATTATAGGACTATGATCAGAAGTTATCAGAGATGCAGCAGCAGTATGAGACGGAGAAAATCAGTAAAGCCAAGCTCGAGCAGGACATGCTGAAATTACGACAATTTTACGACAGTCGACTCGCAAATGTTGACGGAGAAATTGAAAAACTTCCGTCCACCGCGGAAAGTAAGTATTGGCGCAGGTTTTCTTTATTCATGTTCCCATTTCTTTTCATTAACAAATTTACAAATCATTTTGTTAAGATTTACAAAAATCATTATTATTAACTTACATTTTAGATTCTTGATTTCAATCATAGTTTCAGCTTTTATTGTGCCATATTCATTTTTGTTTTACGCAAAGCAAACTCTTACACACTTTAAATTACTTCTTATAAATAAAGTTGTGACTAAACCAAAACAAAAACCTAAATCATCTTTTTAAAAAGACATATATTCGAATAAGTAGAATTTTACATGTTGTTTGTATTTTTCAACTTCTGTCTTTTTGTTTACCTGCTTTCCTTGACATGTAAATTTTTCTCTAGGTTCATTTTAAATATCTTAACATACATGTATATAGATTATATATAAATAGTACATGTATATATTATACACCTGATTCAATCATTTGAATAATATCTAAAATAGATTTATATAAGTGTTAGTATATAGCATTGCCATAAACCGATGCCTGTGATTAAGTCTACATGATGTTTTTAAGAATGAAAACTTAAGTTACATATCTAACCAGTAATATTTATTTATGTTTTTTTAAGACACACAGGAGTGACTTAAGCTGAACATTTTTTTTTTGGGTTGTTTGTGGTTTTTTTAGATAGAAGAAAATTCAAAAGCATAAATAAGTACAAACCATTAAATCTAATATTATAAAGTGCCATTATTTGCCAATTCATGCAAGAAAATGTTGTTTTTTTACAATATTTTGAAAACCTTAATTGTAGTTTAGAACATTTCTATTTCAAAATTCAATGGTGAATATTTAATTATTATTCATACTAGAAAAGCGTCTAAACACAAATGATTCGCAACAAATGCGTGTGATGGCATTCCAAAACTTACTGGAAGCTTTCAAGCTTGCGTCTGATCAGAAAAGACCAACAAAAAGTAAAGGTGATTTATATGTACAGGGCCCTAGATTATACAGTTTACTGGACTTCTGACAACAAGATTATATGGGGAAGGGGAAAAGAATGTTTTTGATGGTAGGAATGAGGAAGGGTATTTCCTGTAAATTTCAAGGTTGTCTTGGAATTGACCTTGGAAGTTAATCATATGTTAAAATATATAAAGTCAGACCTTGATCGCTTGAACTCTGAGTGCCTGTGCAATTTTGTTCATGAGATGTATATGCAAGCCAATAAAGATTGAAGATAAGATCATAGTTTACAGGGACATATTAGGTGGGGAGGTAATCTTGTTGATATCCTTGTTTTTTTGCACATTTGGTCAAATGAAAACACAAATCTTGTTTAGTGCAATATGTTTGTCAAATATGCCATTTTATAGAAATATTAAGAATTTTTGTTGAAAAATATAAACCTGTGTTTTTCAAATGGTACAAATCAAAACAAACAAATTTTAATATCACCTATAAAACATGTCACTAATTAAAGGTGAGACTGGCCACTGTGTTTGATTTTCAATATTTCTTGCAAAAGGAACAGAAATCAGGTTTAAGAGTTTGAGCGATCTGAGGTAGAACAATAGTTATATATAAGGACTTACCTGGGACCCAGTGACCAAGTAAATGGAGATATTTGAGTGATTGGAGTTCAAGCAAACAAAGTTTGACTGTATTTGAAGTAGGGCATGCTCAACATGCACTTTATGCAGTGTTTGCTGTATTTATAAAAATAACAAATATTTTCTAAATCTGGTCAGAAAAATTGGTAATACACTGTATATAAAATTTATAACTGCATTTGTTATATAGGTTTCTTTTAGGAATTATTAATAGTAACAGTTTGGAATTATTATAATAGATCCTTTGACAAGAAAAAGCTGAAAACATAATATCTTGTTGTCAGACAGGTACCAGTTGTTAACATAGAGGGCCACTTATATCATTAGCAATATTAGAATTTAGCTAAACTTCCATAACTTGTTTAATACTCAGCTAGAATTTACTTTTTTTTCATTTTATGTTAATGCATTATTTTTAGAACAGACAAAAAACACAGCTAGTATTACTGGAGGATTTAATGGTGTCTATATGTATATGATAATATATGTTATAGAATGAGAATATTGTAAAAGAGCTGCGCTTGTTTCTATAATCATAAGAGAATAATGTTCTTATTTTTTTTAACCAACTGACATTACATTGAAAATATGTCACAAAGGTTAACAAAACTGTTTTAACAAATCAACCAGTTCAAGACTCATGTTACAAAGACTAGAGTTCTCATTATTCATTGGTTGTGTTTCTTTATAAAGCTGACTGAAGTTTGATTATTGCAACAGAACATAAAGATAAGATTGTGTAAAAAAAGAAACAAGTGCAGCCAGTTTAGTCTTTTAAGTTTAGAGAATGTTAGAATTCATATAGCTGCTTTAAAACAGAGAATTAATGTTTTACTGAACTAATCAAGTTTTCTGTTTACATCTTTATTTTTGGCATGATCCAGATGTAGATCTTAGATTAGAAAAGGAAATAAATTAAGTTATTGTCAGAAAGTATATTTATGTTAGTAAGAAAGAAAATTGTCATTAGAAAGAAAATTGTTATCAGCAGACTATGACAAGAAAAATACTAATTTGATAAGAAAAGACTAGAATGATGTATTCAACAATAAAGACCATAAGCACTCATTTATAAGGCATCCACTTTCCTAATGTCACATGATGTGTTAATGTGTCACATCACATTTTAATTGAGTAGGATCTTTTATATAGGATAAGGTAAAGTCAGTTTTTGATATAAGTAATTTTGACAAGTGTTTGATCATGATGATTCATTTTTTGTTACGTTAATCAACCATCAGGATTAATTATTATATGATAATGTTATAATGCTATTACATATCATAGTTGGGCTTGAATACTGTCATGCTTATAACATACTTCCAGAAATCTGCTGGTCCTACATACAGGTGTAGTTGTATGAAAATAAATTCTGTTTGGCATTTGAATAACCTATATATCATAAAATCATTAGATAGAAATTTTGGCTTAAAATCTGTTCAGGACTATATTGCAGTTTTCAGGAAGTCTAATTATATAAGTAACAATTAAAACATACAGTGTATATCATATTCTGAAATTATATATTCTATATTCTATTATACAGAGTGATATGTTAAAAACATTATGATTCTGATCATTCTAAAACATTTTTTGCATGTCATCAACACTAGCAGAATCAAGAAATGCAAATTTTTCTTTCAGATGAGAAATTTCACCAAATTTATATTTCAGGAAAAAACATTTGTGAAAATAAGTTTAATTGAAATTGAAAATACACAGTGAACAGCTTGCACATGGTGCCCTTTATCAGAGATATTTACTAAAATATTGATAAAAACTTTCAAATTGTGAGATTTATTAATTTCTCATAAAAAATTACCAGTTTTAAATTATTACCGGTTTCCAAGAAAGCTTTTGAATAAAAATCTGATTTTAAGTCCTGATTGGCTGATTGTTATTCAAGATTGACCAATGAAAGCTGTCAAAGCATCTTTAATGAGACTGGTTTAAAAAATTATACTTATAAATGAAGCAAAAGATTGTAAATGAAAGGCAAGACAAGTCAACATTTGTCTATAATTTTGGAGTAAGATTCCAGCATGACAATAGTTATCTATTATAGCAAGTTAACTTGATTGATTCATTATTATTTTTGTTTTAACATGAAATAGTTCTAGGTGATGATGGTCAATACAGTAGTGAGTTGTCTTTATATTTGTCCACCACTTTAATATCACATTTTGAGCATGTACTCTTTTTTGCATCAGTAGAGAACTGAGATTTGACTGTTTCCTACTAAATATTTTGGTAAAAAAACATTTAAAAAACATAAAAAAATATTTCAAGTACTTTAAAAGTATCAATTATGATGTCTAAATTGAAATTTCAAAACTTAATTTTGCTAAACAATTTTTGTTAAATTTATCCACTATATATATCAGAAAATTTATTTTAATGTTAGGTATAACATTTTCTCAGTTTTCTGTATATGATGTTGCTTCCTTGTTAAATGATGACCCCCTGCGATGATTCTGCTGCATGGAGGTAGCCATGATTTGGAGTGTCCATAAATACCCCTCCTGTTTGCCTTGTTTGAATCTCCCTCTCTGTCTCCTGCTTTATACAGACCATGGATAATATTGACCATAGATTATTTAAAGTTAGAATTACCATGGTTCTGAAGTATCATAAGTATAAATGACCATGGGTGGGATTTACAATGGGATGAAATATCTGTGAGCAGAGTCAATTTGAATCAGAATATTTATCTTAAAAGCAAAAATTGAGTTAATATGATGTTTTATTTAAATGAATGCAGCCATGTTAGTTTGACAATGGCTGAGACATTAAATGTATTATAGGTTTTAAGTTATAAACTGCTATGGGTGAGATGTACCATGGATTTTTGTGGCTATAATTTGACCATGTATTATAATTACTACAAGTAGCATAAGATTACCATTACCAACCAAGCAAGTTAATTAAGTTTGTGTTAATTACCAAAGATCCAAATGGCTATAAAAGTAGAAATTAAAGAAATGTCAGTCAATATTAACATTACAAATAACACTTTTTTGGAAATAATTTAAAAAAAAGTTCAGAATCATTATCAGTTTTCTTTTTGTTAAAGTAATAGTTGAAAGATTCTTTTGATTTGGTATATCTTTCATTCACTGATTAGGGCTATTGAGCTTGGGGAAACTATAAGAGGGACGTTCACCTTTTCTAAGTTAATTAAAAAAAAATTCATCATATTCAGTACATGTCTACTGTCAAATTGGGATTGTCAGAGGGATTTTCTTTATTTGCCTGAACTTTTCTTTACTGTTTGACATGTACCTCAGTCTTTCTGTTTCTGGAAATATGTTTGTGCCACACTCTTCTGAAGTAATTTCAATTGTTATTTGAAATTTTGACATTTTATTGCACACCTTCTGCTTGTGAATGACTGAATGTTGACAAATTTCTTGTATGAAGCATGATTTTGATAAATTTTACATGACATCTTCTCCCTACTATCTCCTCTCTCTATTTCTCCTGTGTTTTGATATTATTATGACTGTGTGAAAAAGTTTATAAGCCCACTTACTTATACATGTATATAATTTTTTATATAGAGGTTTTCTCCCATGTAATTTTTATTGATATCTTAAGAGAGAGAGTATAATATTGATCAAGTTAGTATTTACTTTTCATTTAAAAACTAAAATTATTTCATGTTATTCTAAGTTAATAAAAGTGAATAAATCAGTCATAAAATATAATTGTAAGCCATTATTTTTAATAAGATGACATTGAATATATTTATGGACACAAGCCCCCATCATCCTCCAATATGTTTATATCCCATCTGTTACTATGGTAACATAACAAATGTTCATTTTTTTAACATCACCAACTAATATACAGATCCCCAAGTGTTTATGTTAGGGAAGTATTTGTTATACAATACAAAACTATATATGATTCTGTTCCATGCCTTTAAAGTGTGACAATGTTTAAATATTATATAAATGAGTTTTGGAAATCTTTTTGATACATCTGTTGAAGTAACATTCCTTTGAAAAAAATAAATTTTGCTATATATTTTATCTAATACAGATTTCAAAGAAATGTAGAGATTTTAAGTTTTAGTTTAATATAAGAAAGTTGTTTTTTAATGAGAAACACACTTATAAGGCTATGATTGTTAATGATTTTTTGTTTCAGATGACATAGCTAGCGGATGAGAGTTTTCTCTTGACCTTGAAACAACAGATTTCCACAATTAAATTTGACCTTGAATTAATCTCCTGTTAAACTAACTGCCATTATGTTTATAAACATTATTTATATTCTAGTTCCTTGTGGAATCATTTAAATTTTTATTTCATTGAAATTGTATCATTTGCATAGGAAAGAAAGAAAATAAAAAATGGGGAAAATCAAATTTGATGTAGATCTACATTTCATTACATAAACTGAATGATTTGAATCAACATATCGCATATTTATAATATGTAAATAAACATTAGTTTGAAATGTACAGAATATTCAGTCATAATTTTGTATTTTTATTAAATATTCCTTTCATAATGCTTTGTAAATTCATTTTTAGAAGAACTTTATTACTTCAAGATATATCTGCAATGTTTTAAATGTAATGATTCTTATTTCTAGAGCTGATAGACCATAAATTTACAAAATCTTCAGTAGAATTTTGATAATTTCTGTCTAATTTTGATTTAGGTGGTGATGTTACATTAGCAGCAGCACCCGGGACTCCGGGTCAGCAAGTAGGTAAACAGCAACAACAACAACAACAGCAGCAGCAAGCCGGGCAACAGTCACAGGAAGGGAAACAACAGGTTGTTGTGGTACCAGTTCTAAATCCAGATGGAACGCCTGCCAAAGATGCTGAAGGACATGTAAATTTTACAGCATTTGGTTTATATGTGATAAGAATATTTGCTGATAGGAAATTTGGAATAAAAATAACAACTTAATTAACAGAGTTAACAGAGTCAGAACATTAATTTGAAGATTATATATTATTATTGTGACATCATGTATATAAAGAAATTATCATAGTATCACATAATGCATGATGGGATCATTGTTAAGAAATAAGTGTGGTGAAAAATTCAACAAAAAACAAGTTAATTTACACAAGAAATGACAAGCACAGAAACCAGTTCATGATAAAGTTGACTCCAGCTACATGCATTTATCTTTATTTATAATCCAAGTTATGGTGTTCATTGTAGATTTAAGCACATGGACATTTGTAACTTTTACTGACAACTTAATAAATCCTTCGAGTATTTTTCTGTTCATTTTTCGAGTATAATTATAGGGGCACTCACCACTGTCAGACTTCTTTGACTATTTTTCCATTACAAATTTGTTGACAATTCATTATTTAAGGTTATAACAAAGACAGAGTATGTGACAAGGACAGAGTATATTGATAGGGAACAGGATGGTGAGGTTGGAGGCAGGCCAAGTTCTGTCATGGGTGAAGGTCTTCCTGTAGGCCCGGGTGAGTTTATTTTATACTTGATCTACTTAAATAAGTTGAGTTATTACCTGGAGATGACTAGATCAATTTATCAAAGGTAAATTTAGCTTTATTACTTATGTTAATGAACAGAATAATGTTAATTTTAGTTTTTAAGCTTGGATACTGAAAAAAAATCCTATTTTTGACATTGTTCAATAGTATAAATTGTAGTTAGTCAAAGATTATGACATGAAATGTTTTGTAATAAAACTAATTTAATTCACCATCTTGACATATGATGGTTATACAACTGGCAATAACTGGGAATGAAGTGAATTATCCTATCACTGATTTATTATAATCTATATATTTCAGATGTTGACGATGTTAGACTTCAGAGTGTGGTAGGTGATTTTTTTTTTGTAATTTTTGTAAATACAGGATTTTTATTTAACCAAATGTTATTCAATTGTATTTTTTGGGTATTCTGAAGGATAAGTGCATTTACTTCATGTGGAAGCCTTAAGATTCAAATAGTTAAAAATCTTGGGAATAATTTAGCTTTATGTAATGTCTTTGTTTGTAAACTAAATGCAAATTGAGTTCTTATCTACGTCTTATTTCCATGATATAATTATCAAAAAAATAACTATTTTTACAACAAATATAGAAGGTATTTATTGGTTGGGGACCATCAATAGGACACTTTTTGAACATTTTTCCATACAAACTTCATAATTTTAAAGCTAGAGATCTAAAAATTTGACACAATACAGCTAGGTACTTAGCGTAACTAACAAAATAGTTTGTTAGTTACTTTTTATGTCGACACTTTTATCCAAGGCCCGTCAAAGAGGGTATCAAAACTACCTAAATTACCTACACAGTACAGTACCATGTGTCCAGGCAGATATGTACATGACGTTGATTTAATCCAAATAAAAGCACGGGTGTTTTAATTATATATTTTTAACATGCAGCAAATGCTGAAGTTTTGAACATTCTATATTTTACTTTGCAAATGATTATAGCTAGTATTAGAAGTCAGGTATTGCACTCTTGACATCCAAATTTTCAACGTCAATGTTGTTGAAATATAAATTAAAATATTATCATTTACCTAACTTGAAATAAATTTAATAACTTATTTATAGAAAAAAACTTGCATTTATTGTTGAAAACAAAGTGACTGATAGATTGACAACCATTGGACAAAGAAAAAAACTAAATCATGCATTTTTGGGGCCACTCAGGTTTAGTGGTTGTCCAGTTTTGAAGGTCCCCGACCAGTAGAATTTCCAGTTTTACAACTTATTTTATACTATTTACAACAAGTTTTAAGAAATATAAAATCGATGTTTTAGAGTGGATCAGAAGATTTACAAGCATCAACGAGCAGTAAGGGTTCTGTGTTTACCCGTGATGCTCAAGTACCTACAATGGCCAGGGAGAAAACTGCAATAGAACATCCTGACCAGGACAAGAAGGTCAGTATAGTAAACGGACAGATGGTGATACGGTCTACAACAACTACTGGTGAGGAGAGTATCATGGTACGGCCTACGACATCCGGGGGACGTAAAGCTCAACCTGTATCACAAGATGAAGTAGCCCCAGGGTCGTTGGCTCCAAGGTCATCACCCACACATTCCAGCATGCAGGAACAGCTGAGGTTCCAACAAAATGAAGCTCTTAAAAGGTTTGAAAAACTTTTTTCGCAATAGAACACATTAATGCTTTGGTCTTAAAAGTTTTATCATTATTAGGCAAAGGTCATAGCGTAGAATTATAAAGAATAAAAATCGGTAGAAATTGCCTTTCTAAATGCATGTAGAGTTATTTTGGAAACTTTTAATGTGACAAAGAAAGACTCCTGATAACTGCATCAAAAAAGAGGTGAATTGTTAAAACCTGTTTTTAGATTGCTAGTTTTTCATTTAGGTCTCAAAAGATTGAACAATCTAAATACATATATGTATTTCTATACCAATGATCAGTTTTTCACATAAGTCAAGTAAATAATTTTTCTTTTTTATTTCTATACACAAATTATAATGGTAGACCTATTTCTTCAATAAGTGACCAGGCTAGACTACACTTTCCTTAAGCCTATGTTAGCAGCTGAGATATATATTATGTTGTTCTATCACAGTATTAAAAGACCTCAAATCCATTATAAGCAGGAGGAAATTTTTTAAAATCATAACATGTAAAACTGTAAAATTTTGTTTACGTTTAGACTGCAGGAGTTAGAACAACAGATGGTTGGTGGTGAAAATAAAGAGAACAAAGAATTAAAAGAAAGAAGAAAAAAGAGAAAACAATTTGCAGATGAAAGAAAAAGAAAACTTGCAGGTAAATGTTCCAGAATTACATATACATGTACTTTTCAATGTACAAATAAAATTTATATAATTCACTAAACAACTGCCATCCTTTGTTTTATTTCATTAAAGATGTCCAGGGTAACTGGTCAGTTACCATATCTCCAACACAAGCAATAAATGGCAACATGATTTTTTCCCATTTTATTGTACAGATTCAATCAAACAATTTTCACTTCATTTTGTTATTTTTATTGCTTTTGAGCGGTCACCTATTTTCCAAGATTTTCAGAACCTGATGAAGGGTATATTTTACCCGGAACTGGTTGTTATAATAAATATATAACCGACCTGGTGTTTTAATTTGTTACTACCCCCCCCCCCCCTCCAAGTCTTTTAATTTATAAGATTTTATGTTGTATTTCTTGCTTTCTTATAAGAACTGAGTTGATACAAATCAGTATTTGAGTATAAATTTTTATGATATAATATTCTAACAGAGGCTATAGCCAACATGGATGATGATGGTATTATGTTAGATATATACGATCAGATGGGAGATAAACAAAAAATTACCGAGAAAAGATTAGAAAAGGAGAAAGAAAAGGTAAACTTTATGTTTTGTGTTGTATGATTGATACTTTTCTTGAAAATTTTTTTAGGGAAAGGCTAAATAATTTATTTATCTTTTATATCTGTATGCAAATATTGAAGATGTTATCTAGCCAATGTACAAATAACTTGAAATAGACTGTTTGTCAAGACCTTATTTTTGCATTGAAAGAAAAATATGTAAGTTATAAAGAATTAATCATTGTTTATATTGATATTAGTTTAGTTTATACAGAATTTATTTTAGTTTGTGTAGGAAGCAATAAGCTTATAGCCTGCTCTTAGAATCAACCAATACTGAGCAATGAGTGTAAAGTTTCTTGCTTAAGGGAACACAGAAACAACAGTTTGCCCCTGTAGGGGTAACATATCCAAAAAATTTGCATGGATAATAATACTACATACTACTGTATAATTTTTTGTTTCAGACTGAGGCTTTGAACAGAGAGATATTAGATCTACAATCAGAGTTTGAATTTGAACGTATAGATTACCTAGATACTATACGTAAACAAGAAAAAGAATTAAGCTATTTACAAAAATTAATAGATGTGATACATCCGTGTTTACGTAAAGACTGTAACTATAGCAACCTGGATAAAATAAAAATATTGAGTAAATGGGACGACGAGGAACAGAAATGGATAATGCCTGCATTGAAAATAGAAAAGACAGCTCTACCAGTCACTGGTAATAATATTTTAACTAAATACTAAATTTGTAATTGATTGAATTTAATACTGATCATTGTCAATTTGAAGGATTTGATAACAAAATAATAAACCAGTCTGTATAGACTGTACAGTCTATACTGGTGACACAGTCAAAATCATTATCATCATTAGCCTATAAAATGTTAGAGGTATTTTGAAATACAAAGAGGTTTCACAAGAAATTCATTAGACAGGTTAGAAACACAATTATGAAGTAATGAAGAATATTTCTGTGGAGAATTGACCCTGTTAACCATATTAATGTCAAACCCCGTTGAGGGGACATAGACACGCAATTTAAGTAATACTAGTTGAGTGCTTCCTGTGTGTCGTCACCAATAATCATAAAAGATGCTCTACCCCAACACCAGTCCTGCTCCTAGATGACTTGTTTAGTCAATTGTTCGTCCAGTCTTCCTTTTCATGAAATGGGTAGTGACAAATTTAGTTAACAATTTCTTATTATTGGCCAATATATCAAGGTGTTTATTTACAATGGTCGTCAATGATTTGTCAGTCTTTCAATTTATTAATAGGCTATTTGTCAATTAGGACAACTTCTGTACATGATATTTGATTGATGTAGTGTGTATTTGTGTGTATTTGTTTGTTTGTACATGTTTGTATGTACATGTTTGTATGTACATGTCTGTATGTACATGTCTGTATGTACATGTATAAGGAGGTTAACAATGAGTTGAATTTTCAAGGTACAACATTACCAACAGGTATGAATGGTCACAGAAGTCCCAGGATGAACGGTGAACATGATGAATTTGATGATAGATATAGACAGGTATGTTCTTAAATATTTCTTGTTATACATACTTAAATACAACTTTATAAACTGATTTACTGGAATATTATTTTTTGTATACTGTAATTTTATAGTGTCATTTTGTATACTGTAATTTTATAGTGCCATTTTCTGTACTTTTCATAGTGCCATTTTGTGTACTGTAATTTTATAGTGCCAATTTGTTAAAGTGCCATTTAAAATGGTAGTTATTGTTTATCTTTATTCTTATACTTTATTGCAATTTCATCCAACTTTACAGGAATGATCAATACCAAGTCTAGTTGTGCATATTGTCAGCATTTTCCGGTTCAATGATTTTTTGTAAGCAGTTATGGCCCGTTTTAATAATTTTTATTTTTTAAAGTTTGTCCGGACTACTTCTCTTATACAACTAATGCAATTTCAATGAAACTTTACAGGATTGATCTGTAGCTCAAGTCCTTGCGCATATTGCACGGGTTTTCCTGTTGAATGATTTTTGGCCGAGTTATGGCCCTTTGATAAAAAGGTGTTTTTTTCTGTGTGTTGCCAGATACACAAAAGCTTGTCCGGACTACTCCTCATAAACTACTCGTGCAATTTTATCCAAACTTTACTGGAATGATCAGTACCAAGTCTAGTTGTGCACTGTCCATCTGTCTGTCCGTCTGTCACAAAACTTGTCCCAACATGAAATTGGCCATCATGAGGTGACACATATGATCACTGATCGCTCTTGTGTATACTGTAATTTTATGGTGCCATTTTGAGTACTTTTCATAGTGCCATTTTGTGTACTGTAATTTTATAGTGCCAATTTGTTAAAGTGCCATTTAAAATGGTAGTTATTGTTTATTTTTATATTTATACTTTATTGCTTTATACTGTTAATGTGTTTGAAAAACCTTTTTTGTGGTAATTACTTCTCTAAATGTGTCAAACATGGGACATACAATAATTTCATGTCCCAAGTCAATATGTTTAAAATGCTTGTGTTTTCTTATTGGGTTTGAATCCCAACAGGGACTTTGGATTCTTTCATGTGAGGAAGCTATCCAGCTAGCTTACAGAACGTCGGTGGTTCTACTCATGTGCCCGTTTGTGCCTTAAATAATGCATAGAAGGGCACCTGAGGTCTTCCTCCACCTGTAAAGATGGAACGTCACAATGTGATCTTTAAGGTGTTGGTGCAACGTAAAACCCAATCAAACAAACAAACAAAATATTTCTTTTTAATTAGCATGATAAGTATTTGATGTTAAGCAACAACTTTAAACTTTTTGGAAAAATGTTAACTAAATGTAATTGTTATTGAAATAATATAACTATAAGTTTCTGAATTAAATATAAATGTTATAAATAAATGTAATAGAATTCTTAGGGTGATCAGTAAGGCCCCCACGGTTACACGTTTAAACAGATTCGTTTCGTTTTTCATTCCTAAACGTTTACGATATTTTTTACCGTTTAATCGAAATGACCATATTGTCTTACAAAATATCTTAATCATTGCCTGTAATCATGGCTTTTATCAATTCCAATTGGTTTATTCCAAGGTAAAAATAGAAAATGGGTGTTAACCTTCCACACAGCATCACCGTGCAATAATCGCTTGTGGCATAATGCATTTTTGGTAAAAATGATTTTCCTCTGATCTTTCAAAAAGTGAAATGGGGATACAATGCAGAAAATGTGTGCCGACACAATCGTGATGAGCCCTGAACATTATGTATTTGTACATGTATAAAAAAAGAGAAAGTATGTCATCATTTGCCGACTCGAATACATGGTGTAGTATAGTGCATAGAAGTACCACCGTTTAAACGGTATCGTTTCGGTTCTTAGCAATCGTGTAAACGTTTACAAGAAATTGTAAACGTGGGAGCCTTAGTGATTGGTTATAAATATGATATATAATTGACATAAGTACATGTTGTATATGGAGTATAAAATCTGTTGCTTTTTTTTTTTAAACAGAAAATAATGCGTAGTGAGGACAAGTCGGGTAATTATTTCCAGACAAAACGACCCAGTCAACTTGTATCTGAACCTCTACAGAAAGTTGGTAAGTTACAATTCTATAAAACGATCCAACGTTACAAGCACTAAACACAGAAATCCATTTTTTTTTTAAATTTTGAAATCTGAATTTTTGTTGCTTTTATTCAATGAATAAAGAAAGTTATGGTGATCATTTCAACATTGTAAGTTTCAAAATGTAAAATAAATAATCAACTTTCAGATATTGGGGAAGTGAAAAGAAATTACAACATTCAGCCTCAGAATGCCTTACCAATAAGTAATGGTTTTGCTGCACGTAAAAGTCTGGTAGACATGGACGAGCCCATGAGTAGTGGACTAAAGGCAGCGAAGGTACATGGACAAATCCTCAATGACGAGGGAGCTGTCAGAAAACCAGCAAGATTACAAGCTCTAGGTCCAGTAGGGAAAAAAGATAAGAAAAAGAAGAGAAATAATTATGATGACGGTTATTGATGATTGATAGATTTTTTAGAACTGTTTGTAAATTGTTGCACGTATGAAATCTTTCCTAAAATGAAAGTGAAACTAGACGACTGCCTGATAGAGCATAACTGTTGTAACTTTTATGTTAGGATTTTGGGAACAGTTAAATAAGTTATAAACTAAAGTGATGTGTTTGTGTAGAAGAGTAAATGTGTACATTTCCTATGGACATGTAACAAGGCAGGGCTCGACTTATTACAGGACAATGTATTATATAAACTTAATATTATTAGCTTGGTTATAAACCTACTAGAAAACTTTTAAAGGATTAAACTCAGCACTGATGAAATCCAAATCAACTTACATTTGTTCTATAGTGTTACAGCTATTCTACATTCTGTTTAAAGTGACATTATGCCCATTCAAGGGTATAAATGAGTGAACAAGTGAATGTCAAAATAAGCTTTCATTTTGCCATAATTCCTTTTAATATAAAAAATCATTTAACATTGACAATAAACAACACATGGATTCAAACAAAATTGTCGTGAATATCCATTAAAATTTACCTGTAACGTTCATTTCATAAAAAGAGTGGGGCAGTCTTTTTATATTATAGGCAGATTTAAATTTTATCCTAAACATTTTCCAATATGAACTGTTGTTCAATCACTATTTTAACAGTTAATCTTTTGAAATATATAGTTAGTTCAGCTCAACTTGACTATGAAAATATGAATATATGTCTTTTTTACATTGCTTATAAATGCATGGATTTGATAACTGTAATAACAAATGTTTTACCACCCAGAACTTGCATTCTGCAAACTTTTCTTAAGAAATAATGCACTAGGAATCTTCAATTTTTGGTAAAATATTAAACAACTTTACTTTTGAATGCAATATTTTAACATTTACGTTATTAGAGCAAAATATATTTAGGGTAACAGTGCTTGTTCTATGAGATCTATAAGGCATGTTGTTGGTTTTTTGTTGTTTTTTTTAATATTTTAAATGAAATGTGTCTAAGAAATGGTAATAAATGTAAAATAGACATCAAATGGACTAATTTATTTCATATGGCGTAAGTGCAATGGATTTTTTTCTGACAATAATAGCAAAGTAGGATTGTTTGCAAGTACAATGATGAGTTAATAGGGTTTATTGATTTGTTATTTACATGAAAGACTGTCAAGAATACTAACTGGATGTAGCATCTAACATATCAAAAATAGATCAATATATTTTCATTGTGTATATTGGAAGATTTTTTTTTCTCAGCACATATCAAGTGTTATTGCATGTTTTTCTCATATTCACATTCATTAGCTACATTATAACAGCAGAGGTTATTTTATATTATGCTTACTAATAATTTTATATCTACTGGATTTCATTAGGGCTGACTTATTTGTAAAACATGGCATTGATGATATTTTTGTGGATCAGTTATCAATACAGATATTTGATTAACTAATAAAATGTCTAGACATTATGAAAATTCACCCCAAAAAAATTATATATAAGCGGGCACCCATTCAAAACAATAATGGAAAACTATGGTCTTGTTAGTAAATAGGCATATTTCATATCAGTGATGACAAAAAGTGGTAGGAAAAAAACATGGAGAGGGCATTTAAAAACAATACACATCATAATTGTTTGCAAGGAACTTTGTTTACTGTATATTGAAAACAGGTAAGTGAAATATATAAAAGAAATACTTGGTTGTATTGATGTATTTGTCATCTGATATCTGAATCAATGACAGCTCTATATTTCATTGATGAGATATTATATATCACTAACTGCAAGAAAAATGTGTTGCTGTTTTTTTTTTCATCAGTAAGCATAAAATAATATGATTTTTGTTTGGTTGAATTGATTTTGTCATACTTTGATGTGATTTTTTATTTTGTTTGTTTTTTCACTCTTAAGAAAATATGTACAAGTTTTATCTTCACAAAAAGATATATCACTTTCAACTAAATATTCCCTTTCTATATATATATATATACATGTAAATATTTTTACCATTCACTGCATGCATGAAAAATAGACAAGTTCTTTCGTGAAATAGAAAAAGAGTAGATTTGAGGTCAGTGGTAATGTTGAAATTCTATACTATAAATATATTTTTGAGAAATCTTTAAGAATACACGTACAAAGCAAACTACAGTAAATTGTATGTATAATAATTGTAGTATAAACAGATTAGTAAAGTCAATCAGGAGAACAGGGTTCCCTCTATATTTGATATCTCATGTATAATTGTTGATTGGCAGAAATTAGCATGTGTAGTATATCGTTTATTGAATTGTGATGAAATAACATTTTGATGTGATACTAGAAATGTGTATGACAGAAATGAAATTTGTTGATCAAATTTCTGACATTTTGTAGTGTATGTTGTAGACAGTGTTGAACATTCCAGAGGTTGTATTTTACAGATTTAAGTTTCTTATTTTCTTTTCTTTGTTTTACAGTTAAACGAGAGAATTTGTATTTTTAAACAAGAATTATTTTTATAACTATGTTTATTTTTTCCATGCTTCACCAATCCACAGGTGTTATTAGGTTTCATTTGTGTGTAGAAAATGTTGTAGAAAATATAATATAAAAGTATGAAAATTGAAACTTTTGTACCTGTGGAGTACTGTTGTTTTCATGCAGTTACATGTGTTTTATTTTTATTTATACTTTATTTGAAATGTTGTGCATTGAAGTGCTTTAAGATGGACATTTGTCCATGATGTCTTCATAAAATATTTTATCCAGATATTCTTGCTTTTCCCTAAGACTATAAATGTATCATATTGTCTCTTCAGTGTAAGACTAATATATGTATCATATTGTCTTACTTCAGTGTAAGACTTACATATGTATCATATTGTCTCTTCAGTGTAAGACTAACATATGTTATCATATTGTCTCTTCAGTGTAAGACTATAAATGTATCATATTGTCTCTTCAGTGTAAGACTTACATATGTATCATATTGTCTCTTCAGTGTAAGACTAACATATGTATCATATTGTCTCTTCAGTGTAAGACTTACATATGTATCATATTGTCTTACTTCAGTGTAAGACTAACAAATGTATCATATTTGTCTCTTCAGTGTAAGACTAATATTTGTATCATATTGTCTTACTTCAGTGTAAGACTAACATATGTATTATATTTGTCTCTTCAGTGTAAGACTAATATTTGTATCATATTGTCTGATTTCAGTGTAAGACTATATTTGTATCATATTGCCTGATTTCAGTGTAAGACTATATTTGTATCATATTGCCTGATTTCATTGTAAGACTAATATTTGTATCATATTGTCTGATTTCAGTGTAAGACTATATTTGTATCATATTGCCTGATTTCAGTGTAAGACTATATTTGTATCATATTGCCTGATTTCATTGTAAGACTATATTTGTATCATATTGCCTGATTTCATTGTAAGACTAATATTTGTATCATATTGCCTTACTTCAGTGTAAGACTAACATATGTATTATATTTGTCTCTTCAGTGTAAGACTAATATTTGTATCATATTGCCTGATTTCATTGTAAGACTAATATTTGTATCATATTGCCTGATTTCATTGTAAGACTAATATTTGTATCATATTGCCTGATTTCATTGTAAGACTAATATTTGTATCATATTGCCTGATTTCATTGTAAGACTATATTTGTACAATATTGTCTCTTCTGTGTTAGACTTACAGATGTATCATATTGTCTTACTTCAGTATAAGACTAACATAATAATCATATTGTCTTACTTCAGTATAAGACTAACATAATTATCATATTGTCTCTATAGTGTAAGACTAACAGATGTATCATATTGTCTTACTTCAGTGTACAGCTATATTTGTATCATATTGACTTACTTCAGTGTAAGACTAGCATATAAATTGTTGTATATTTGAAAATAAATGAATATTGTAATATAAATATATATTTTTATTGACTGTCACTTGCATAATAATGAAAATTGTAGAGTTATACACTACTATTTTCACAATCACCATGATTTCAGAATATATTTATATACATAGATTCATATACTACATTCACGATCACCAAGTAGTTACAGTTGTTGCTATGACATCTTGATTTTCTTAGTTGCACTAAATTATTTATATATGAATTTAATTACATTGTTTTGTTATGTTTATCATTGATTAAGGTGTTTTCATATGTAATTTGTCTTAATTTGTCATAACTATAAAGTACTTTTATAGGTGTCTAAATCATTGTTGTTTATTTATCTGAGACTTAAAATATTATGTCATACATTTTTAACATTTTAAGTTGTTTAAATGGGTAGAAAGTTTCTTTGACCAAAGCAAAGATTTCAGATTTACACTTTAATATTTTAAATGGCTTATTTTAAAACATAAACAATAATTGATTGATGACATACTTATTATTTCTTACAACAACAAAATAATAAGGTTAAGCTGGAAGAAATTTACTTATTCTCAATTTGACAGTTTCATTTTTTTATCATTTATTTTTTAGTTTGCTTTATTTTGATTTTGTTTTCAAAAGAATGACATACTATGTTTAATTATAAATTGTTGTTGTACTGCAATCATGTTTTACACTGAATCAGTGTTGTCTTTACAACACATTTAAATATTACAACAACATGATCAATTCCTCACATTAACAGTGATGATTACTTCATCTCCTTCAAAAATATTTTTTCTAATAATTTAAGATCATAAGTAATGTTTAGGTGATTTTTTCTTCCGGGAAATAAACATGATTACAATGTTTTAAGAATAACTTTATTTCTTATTTGAATATAATGAAAATAGCATGGAGAAGTTGTAATAGTACTGTTGAGGTATATGGTTTACTACCAGTAGTAAGGTGTTGGTCAATATATGATTATTTTATATAACCTTACCTTCCAATTTAACTTTTAAAACTAAATAATTATAATTCCATGTTTTAGGTCTTTTAGTTTATAGCTATTTTGCTCAAGTCATGAAAAATAATAGTTTTCTTTGTTTCAGGTGATACGTATGAGCTGCATCACGACGAAACCAACATAATGGGTTTGCGGCCAACCTGCGCATCTACGCAGTCTGATCAGGATCCATGCTATTCGCTTACAAACCCTTCAGCAAGTAGAGACACCGATAGCGAACAGCATGGATCCTGATCACACTGCACAGATACGCAGGCTGGTCTGGATCCATGCTGTTGGCAAACCCATTATGTTGGTTTTGTCATGGCTTGGGTACAGTATATTTTTAAAAATCTATCCCGATATATAAGCATTTCAAGCTGATTGTTTTTCTTTATTACAATTTTTAAAAATATTTATAATTGACATGTATATTCTGTTTTATTTTTAAATTTTCTGATGATCTTTAAGTGACATTCCGTCCTGGTACAGTATTAGGTGATTATATTATAAGTTAACCTCTGTGATGATATTTTTGTTGTTGTTAATACATTGAAATAAAATTCATTTTTATTGTATAACACATTTGTTGTCATTTGTAAATATATCCAAAATATTAACTTAATTAGGACAGATGCATGAAATGCTGTCATGTACCAGCAAGGGATGAGTAATGATACAAGGGCTCTATGTCCAACACAAGGTTCAACCCCCAGTAGGTAATGACATTTTTTTCATATGACCAAAGAAACAGTCTCATGATTGATGTATATACAAGATGCCTTTTGGTAAGATTATTCTTATATTTACTGGTTTTTACTGGGTCATTTTACACGAATTTGTTGTGTTTCTTTACCTGATTTGAATTAAAGGCATAAACACATCATGACCAAAAAAGATAATTTGGGGAAGATGAGCAAATGAAGTTTTTCACTAAAGTTCTTAGCATTGACCTTTAATTGCATAAAAATCTTTAAAAAAAATCATATAAAAAAAACTTGGTAGAGTCCTTTCAACACAAAGGTCAAGTTAATACATTCATTTTTGATGATTGATGCTCCACACAACACTAATATTATGAATTTTCCAAGTTAATTTAGGGCTATAAGTCCATGCTAGAGACAAGTCTTGGTTTGTGGTTACAAGCAAATATCGTCGGGGTTGATAAAATATGATACTGTTCAAGAATTTACGCATAAAACTGTTACACTGGCACTGGGTGAGAAGGGTAGAACTTCTATTCTTCCAATAGTTTAGTTGTAAACAGAAAACAGTTAGGCTACTTTACAGAGAACACATTAACACTGGAGAAATATTTAAACTTTAATTTAGTCATTCACAAAACATTTAAGCAATGTTAGCATACCAAGAAAATATCAAAAGTTTTCTTCATTACTTGAATTACAACATTTCATTTTTTCCTATAAAACATTTCATGACAATGGTATAAAAACCATTGGTTTATGTTTCAATCAGTTGCATGGTCCCCAGTCAGCAAATAGCCTTGTGCTTTTTAATGTTCTATTTGAACCGAAAACCAAAACAGATTATACAAATATTAGCCTTAAAAAAGACTTTTTTATATATCTATTTCTCTATGTGCAACTATATTTAACAACAGTTTCACAGTCAAGAAATTGAAATACTAGTTAGTAGGTAATAATACCTAGCAACTCTTGTTTTATCATCACCTATTTATTCTAAACATATTACAGTTTTCTTTATTCTGAGACTATTGCAATTTTAAAGGAACATTGTGACCTTTTGGTAACTAAAAGCATTTTTTATTTAGATCAGTATGCTAAATAGACATATCAATATTAATTTATATAAACAATTTATTTCCTTTTATTCATATTTATGTCAGGAAATTTGTTGTCCTTTTTAATAAAGTAAATGTAGAGCACTATACAAGATGATGTTGGGATTTAAATAAATCACGTAGATTCAAAGTCGGGATTCTTCTTCAATACAACAAATCCTTCCATCACAGGAGTCATTGGTAGATCTAAAATCATATGTTAAGGAAACAAAACAAAAGTTTAATAAAGAAAATAGACAATGTAATATAGTGCTACATTTCTAGGGAAGATGAAAAGATCAGCAGTAATAGGGTGTACAACCAGTAAACCCCGATCACAAAAAAAAGATAGTCCTAATATTGAAATGATGTTTTAAGGGTATCTTCTATTATCCTGTAGATATAAAATAAATAAATACAGATGTAAGACTTAATATACTTGCTAATCCTTGAACACCTTCAAAACATATTTAACTATATAACGTTGCACTTCATAAATAATGTTTTGTAAACTTTAACACAGTCAAGAAGTACTAAATTAATTAAATTGTTAAGTAATAAAGTGACATTATGCCTGATTGTATAACACATATAAAGGATACATTCATCTGTAGCAAGTTCTGCCCTCTCGCCATATGCTAGTAATACAGGTGTTGTATGTGTCTGGAAACCTGTGATAGTTTTAGGTTTACCTGCCTGTCCTACCACATCTACAGCCTGAAATGAAATATGTATTATATGATATAAACACATTAAGAACATTAGCATCTGCTTTGGGAGACAAAGATTTCAGCTGTTATTGAGAGGTGTTACTCTAGAGAGGTTAAATTGGTTGTTAAGTTTTTCTTTGGTAAGAAATGAAACTGCTGTCAAAAGGTTATTGCTCGATGGGAAGACTGAGTTTAATTTTTTCCAGTCATCTGTGACTTTTAGCGGCCCTTGCCCAAAGGGTTGACTCAATCTGAATCACTGAGGTTCACAAAATGGAAGAAGAATCTAGATGATTTTATAAAGTTGGATGTTGTTGTTCTTCCCTTTTAATTTAGTCTTGAAAAGCAAGTCCTTCAAAATGTTTTTTTAGAATACATCCATTTACTGCCAATCTGTCCAGTACACATATTATGCATATTTAAAATTTTAAAAACAAACCAGTGTATAAATTCAATATCAAAATATAGAAGTTACTTATAATATTTGAATAACAAATAACTGTCACTGACTTAAGAATTTTTTATATTATAACAATTATTTTACTAATATATTCACAAAATATACATTTTTGTAGTATCTACTGTAAATATATTGCGTCGGAACAGGTTGTGCTTTAAATATTTTTACAAAGAAAATATTCAACATTTGTAATGCTCACAAATCTGGGCTGTGTTCCCAAGTGTATCCTAAATCCTAAGACTTATGACCAACTATAGGACTAACTTAAGACCATTTCAACTAATAATCTTCTCTTAAGTTAAAGACTTCCACTTTGTTAAAAATCATTATCCTGAGAAAGGTTAAGAATTACAATGACATATGCTTTAATCAGCAATATGTTTATGTTCATCTGCATTCGCTTTTCAGAAATTGAAAAAGTCTTAACATAGGAATCATAATTTTCTTTGAAATGTCAAATTATCTCAATTTGGTCTTAAGAGAACTTTCTAAGAAACACAACCCAGTATTATGTTATATAGTTATATACACACCTGACCAACTCTGACAGCTACAGGTAGAGGACGCATTTCTTCATCAAATGTTACCAACATTCTAGGCTGCATTGCTGCCACCAGGTGATACAATAAGTAATGAGATTTCCCGAGAACCACTGAAATATAAAATACATCTGTTATCTAACAATTCATTCCTTACATATAACAAAGAGATTGAAATAATTGATTTATCATTCTAGGTGTTGACAATTTTTGTACTCATAAATACAGTTGTTAATTATCACTAACATAATAATTGAACCAAAAGTTTTCAAAATATCAGAAACGCTTGCACTGTTTCTTCAACTACCAGACCAAATGTTTAAGAAATTAATCTTCACATCATCAGATTTTAAATATTTTTGTAGTGTATCAACTTAGTCAAAAGAACATAATAACATCTGGGTCACCTTTCAGGTACAGAAAGTGTAAAGAGATATCTAGCACTTAAGACAATTAAAAATTTCAATGTAGACATTTTTATAACGCAAGTTTAACTTACAATTTTTAACATCCAGACAGGAGATAAGAGCTGAGAGAAGCCCGGCTACAGCTACAGGACTCATCAATGTACGATCACTATGGTAGGGGCACAGAGTTAATGTCCCCTTACCAAGATGTGTGAGACCCTGTGCTAGACGTACCATAAACAAGTTATTGGCATCTTTACTGTGATATACTGCCAGCTGACGTAACATAGCTGCCAATCTTGCATTGTTTGTTCCTGAAACACAAGGGTTACATGTTTTGACAGAGGCTAATATACAATGTTATCAATCAAAGTTCTTCATTTACTCAACAAAAATTGACATTTATAAATGATTTTTTTTGGGGGTAAAATAATATGACTTCCAGATAATGTAAATCTTTTTTTTTTATTGCTTTTTTTTTAATTAGAAGAAATCAATAACTTATTTACACTAAATCTTTTTCCTACAATCTATTTCAATTAAAAATATAGTTCACAGTAAGTTTACATGGTAAATTTCTTGCTTAGAATACAATTATAAGCTAGAACCTTCATATATTTATTTTTCCTTTCTATTTTGTATATATACTAATCTCTGAAACAGCTCTTGGTTTTTTTTTTAAATCTTAAATCAAATCTACAAGGTTTAAAGTTTTAACCTACCTGCACCAACTAAGCCCATAGCAAATATAGAATTATGTGAGACCTCTGCATCAGTGTCGTGTGAAAATTTACTAAGTGTATCTAGTATCTGTAGTTTAGGATTAGATACAGAGAGAAGACCGAGGGCTAAAGGTACAGCTCGTCTTATACCAACTTCTCCGTATCGTAACTGTAATTATAACATTATAATTGATGTCAGTCTTTTCAACATTAAATAATACAGAAATTGAATTTTCATTTAATATGATAATTGTAAGGAGGAAAGTTTTGATAATTTAATATCACTTTGTTACTATCTCCTTTCAAGAGAGTCTGCAGAGCTTGTGGATTGGTGGCATGGCCGAGTGGTTAATGCATCAGAAGGGTAATCTAAGGATTGCTGACCGCGTGGGTTCAAAACCAGTCAGGGACAAGACGTTGTTTCCTTGAACAAGAAACTTAAACATTTGTTGCTTAGTACTTGTTGGTTCCAGGAATGGATTCAAAGTGTTTCAATAAGCTTACAGCTTCCAACACAATCAAACTTTGACAAATTTGTATAAACAAAACTAAAAGAGTCAGCAATTAAAACCAATAAACTGAACATCAAGTCACTAAATGTTCTATCGGAGACTTCTAGTACAGGACTACACACACATTTCATCAATATAACCCATGATTTAACTTACCAAGTGACTGAAAGACCTAAAGCACATTTCAGAGCCAATATCTTCTCCCATAGATATAAGTGCGAGCCCTAGTACAGCAACACCTTGTTGTGCTGTCAGATCTGGTCCCGCTGGCTTTTCCTCCTCTTTCTTATCTTTCTTCTTATCTTTACTTTTATCTTCTTTATTCTCATTCTTATCCTGATATAAATAAACAACATGTCATACATAACTTCTATATTTATAATTTCTGTAATCATAACTGGAGGAAGAGCTATGTAGGGTTACAGCAATGGACTCCTAATTGCAGAGGTTATCTTGGTCCATAAAAAGGGGAAATCACAATCATGGGGACACATTCGATGCCGTCCGTTTAGCTAAATAGGTAGACTGTTGTACTGTGAATAGGGCAACCCAGATTTGATTCCCGGACAGTGCAGTTCACTTTCGTTGTGGTTGTCCATGAAATCCTTTCTTCTGTCTTTTGCCCTGTACCTTTGCTCTTGTATGTACAGAAGTAATCAGTTCCTTGCAAAAGTGAAGGCAACTAGTACTGGTTAATTGCTTGAAAGCCTGCCCAGGAACGATGTGGGGGCTAAACTGTGCTCTGGTAAATTCAATGTGGCTAACTGCCGTGATCCAGAGTAAAAAACTACCAACATGGGAACACAAGTATTTTTTTCTATTGAAATTATTTTAAATAGTAAACAATTTATAATAAATTTAAAACTTATTGTCTATAGTTAAATGAATTCAATAATACAGATTGTTGATTAGGTGTAAATAAGCCAACATTAAATTTTCCAACGTACATGCTAATTGAACATACAAAATGCTTGGTTGAAAGTTTGTTAAATTTCACACATTATATCAGTTTTTTGTTGATTATTATGTCGCACCAACACTTTGTAAAGTTCATACGGCAACTTTCCACCTTTACTGGCGGTTAGAATGTTTTATAATATCAGTGAACAATATAACAAAATTACCTGATCTTTTTTCTCATCATGTTCTGAACACAGATGTAACAATTGTTGTATCTTCAACACATTACCAGTACCTGTATATATACGTATACAACATTACAAAATCATGTTATATCTAACAGAATAAAAAATTCCATTTCATATTACTGTAGAGTCTTCATTTTCTTCACTTCAAATTTATTACATACTCACACAAGTGGTGAGCACTTTAAATACACCTCTTTATCAAATAAACACACCAAATTATAGGTAAACACAAGAGTTTTTCATACAAGACACGACACCACACATTCATAAAGGTAAATATACATGTTAATGTATAACATCATCAATCATATGGTAAAAATGAAACAGTTTTTATAAAACTCAAGCACCATGTAATATATCAGAAGATAAGGTATAAAACTAACCAGCATATGCACAAACATCTACCAGCATATAAGCCATGGATTTTAATGGTTCACCAACAACTTCTAGTGCAGCCAGTGTCGCATCTACTGCTTCTTGTTTACCTAATTAAAATAAAAAGTTTTTTAACTCTTTATTAAAGAAACAATCAAATTTAAGGTGTAATCTAAAATCAAATACAACTCAATAATTTATGAGACCATCAAATATTAAGTAGTGTATTATTAATGTTATCTAAATATTTATTATATTTCAAATAAAAATCAATGGAAGAGAAATCTAACGTAAAAGAAAAACTATTTCATGAATTAACAACCTAAAAGAAATAAAATAGACTTTTATTTAGAGAAGTTAAAATATTTCTATCACTAACAACTACTGAACTGACAGCAAAAAAAATGTACATGTATTACCTAGGTATGTTAAAGCCAGACCAAGTGCTAGATATCTAGCAAATGTATCTTTAAGTTCAGCCTCGGATCTTTCCATCATTGTTTGTAGTATTGTAGAGGTAACATCTCCGTTACATTTAGAAACTGAGATCATACCACATGCTAGAGCTGCTATACCAAGTACCTGTTATATCATAATTGATTAATTAACAATCTTAAATCTATATTGACTCAATAATTAAACTTTGATATAATTTAATGACATGTTAGGTTATCCATTTAAGCTTAAAGTGAAGTTCTTTAAATGAGTGCAATAATAATTGCTCCAAAGTGAGTCTACTGGATAAATCAGTGCTAGTGTAATATAAGTGATAAGTTTATCAACTCTTTTTGAACATAACAAGTCTTACCTCTGACATCAACAAGTCTTACCTCTGACATCACCAGTATTTATCGAATCCATTACCTATATATTGGTTCTTAAACAATACTAATCGGTGGCAAGTATAAATTAAATCAAATACACAACAAAGCTGTCACAAGTTTGGAGCTTTCAAATATGTACAGTTAGACTACACTTTTGATACCTGCTAAATTTCAGTATCATAACATGGATATCCTTTAAACTACAAATATTATATTTTCAAATTCAAAGAAGAGCAAGTTTCTGTCACAAAAAATCAGCTGGATAAAGGCCTTAATTAAAATAAAGTGAAAAGACAGGCATCAAAAAATATGTTAAGAGTCACTCGTCCTGCAGGGCGAGTAGCTTCTAAATACAATGTACAGGCAACATTTTTCTACTTGTCCTGCATCAAATTCTCTTAAATTCTACTTGTATTTACGAGCGGACAAGTGGAATTATCAATCTCTGTAAGACAGGGCACTGTAAATATGTTGATATTTACCTCCATACTAGATTTAGAATCTCCAAGCACAGGAAGAATTAACTGTAAAACATCATCTCTGTTAGAACCAGCATACGCTAGACCAAGTCTGAAACATACATATATCTACAATAAAACTTTGTTCATTTTAAATGCTATAAAAAGATGAAGGTTTCGTTTGTAATATCAAATACAAAAACTTGTCCATTAATAAGAAATGTTAACCTTTCATTTGAACTCTATTCTTCTCCACATGTTTATATGTAAACAATAGCTGTTAATCAGTGTTAAGGGGCTTGGACAGTGACCTATTATACTGTAAAATATGCGCACATTCCCTTTAAAAGTTATGGAGATAAAAACTTAACCAAAGTGTGATGGCAAACACAGGCACCTGGGTTGGTAAAATACTTCTCCCTATTCTTCGCACAGTTGGATTAAAAATGTTAGGCAAGTTATTAAATAAGTGAAACATAATCTAATTATGGTCCTATCATATATAAACATCATATTATACAAGTAGATCTATAAGGAATCATACAAGTCTTATCAAAGAATTGATCACTTGATATTTATTACTGAGTTAAACATCATCATTATATCCACTATTCTAGGATTAAAGAAACAAAATGATATGTTCTCAAAATCTTTTTCTAAGGGTAGCATTTATAACTGTATAAAATGTGAATTACTTACCCAATAATAGCTCCAATTCTCATAGTATTACTATTATGCATGACATAATCAGAGAGTAAAGCTAGGGCTGGATCACACTCATTTCTAACTCCCGAGTTAACAATACCACATGCTAACAATGCACCGGCCTGAAATATACATCACACATGTAAAATATTGTTTGCATATAGTTCCAACATGTAAATATGATACACACTTAGATTTGATAAAATATTCATTGAAGAATACATGATAAAAGGAAGTACAGTAGAACTTCGGTAAGTCGAAGTTGAAGGGACTTGTGTAAAAACTTCGACACATCGGGACTTCGACTCATGAATCGCTCTCAATTCCATGACAAAATTTCGACCTGTGACTAGTCCTAATTATAAGATCTATAAGGAAACCTTTTTCATGTTTTTCCATCATTAATCTGCTATTTACATTTTACAATGATAAATATAGCATGATAAATAATTATTATTATGCTAATTATTTGGACTACCCGTTGTCGTATACAATAGAGTTATAAAAGGCGTAACAATACGAAAGGGCGATAACTAAACCAGCTTATAGTAAATATTTCGCGTGTTATTCTCACGCGGCACCGGGTCAAGGATGTTTTCAAATGAAAGTAGTTCTTAGGACCTAGTTCTTACTGTTTACTTTCAAATACCACTACGGCAATTAAAATAGTAACGATTAAAGCATTTTATCACACATTTTATCGCAAACAAAGGCGGTTTGAACACACGGCTGTGTAATTAACACCTGTCACACAATGTGATTGGAAATCGTCTTCGCAGCCTGATAAGGTGTGAAAAATGTCTCGAGATGGAAGGTGTCGAAATAATCAAACGACTTCGACTTATTTGTGGTCAATTGCACTAGATTTAATTTATACGGACCACGAAAAAACTTCGACACATCGAAAAATTCGACACATAAAATCTCGACTCATAAGTAGGTTTTTATAAGGAATATATAGGGGAAAAAGTCGGGACTTTCATTTTTCTTCGACACATCGAGAAAATCGACTAATCGAAGTTCGACTCATAGAAGTTCTACTGTAATTTTAACTAAATGGCTCATAGCCATGACAAAATGTAATCCAGATTTATTCCACATGATAATGAAAGTGATCAAAATTTATAAAATCAATACAAGTGTGATATTTGATAAAATTTGAGCAACTTGTCTCACGAGATTATCAAAAACCTGCTATAATATGTAACTTTTGTGACAAAGATGTGCACACACATAGCAGAAAGTAGATATTAGCTGGGTTTCACTCACTAGCAGGGTATTTTTTGCAAAAAGGGAATAAAACAAGAGGGCCATGATGGCCCTGAGGTCGCTCACCTGTATATAGGCCCCCCAACCCCCACCCCCCCCCCCCCCAACGTTGCAGGGCCAATTTAACCCAAGGGCTTTTATTTGCACAAACTTGGTAGACACCCATAAGAGGATGTTTCATGCTAAACATCTAAGCTCTAGCTCATTGGGCTTTTTAAAAAAAGATTTTTTTTAAAGTTTTTACTATACACATATAGTTTAAAACAATGACACCCCTGGGGCCGGGCCAGTTTTGACCCCAGGGCTTTTATTTGAACAAACTTTGTAGACACTAACTAGAAGATGTTTCATGCTTAATATCTAAACTCTAGCTATTTGGGTTTTTTCAAAGAAGGTTTTTTAAGTTTTTGCTATACACATATAAGGAAAATCAATGACCCCCGGGGCGGGGCCAATTTTGACCCCAGGTCTTTTATTTGAACAAACTTGGTAGACACTCACTAAAAGATGTTTCATGCTTAATATCTTAACTCTAGCTATTTGGGTTTTTTCAAAGAAGATTTTTTAAGTTTTTGCTATACACATATAAGGAAAATCAATGACCCCCCGGGGCGGTGCCAATTTTGACCCCAGGGCTTTTATTTGAACAAACTTGGTAGACACCTATTAGAACATGTTTGATGCTAAATATCTTAGCCATAGCTCTTTGAGTTCTTTAAAAGAAGATTTTTTAAGTTTTTACTATATGCATATTGGGAAAATCAATGACCCCCGGGGCGGGGCCAATTTTGACCCCAGGGCTTTTATTTGAACAAACTTGGTAGACACTTATTAGAACATGTTTCATGCTAAATATCTTAGCTCTAACTCTTTTGGTTCTTTAAAAGAAGATTTTTTAAGTTTTTACTATATGCATATAGGGAAAATCAATGACCCCCTGGGGCGGGGCCAATTTTGACCCCAGGGCTTTTATTTGAACAAACTTGGTAGACACCTATTAGAACATGTTTCATGCTCAATATCTTAGCCATAGCTCTTTGAGTTCTTTAAAAGAAGATTTTTTAAGTTTTTACTATATGCATATTATTAGGGAAAATCAATGACCCCCGGGGCGGGGCCAATTTTGACCCCAGGGCTTTTATTTGAACAAACTTGGTAGACACCCATTAGAACATGTTTCATGCTAAATATCTTAGCTCTAGCTCTTTGGGTTCTTTAAAAGAAGATTTTTTAAGTTTTTACTATATGCATATAGGGAAATTCAATGACCCCTCCCGGGCGGGGCCAATTTTGACCCCAGGGCTTTTATTTGAACAAACTTGGTAGACACCCATTAGAACATGTTTCATGCTAAATATCTTAGCTCTAGCTCTTTGGGTTCTTTAAAAGAAGATTTTTTAAGTTTTTACTATATGCATATAGGGAAAATCAATGACCCCCCGGGGCGGGGCCAATTTTGACCCCAGGGCTTTTATTTGAACAAACTTGGTAGACACTCACTAGAAGATGTTTCATGCCAAATATCTAAGCTCTAGCTCTTATGGTTTTTTAAAAGAAGATATTTAAAGTTTTTTCTTTCGGTTGCCATGGCAACCAGAGTTCTGCATGGAATTAAATTCTTTGAACAATTTTTAAAGGTGGCCACCAAAGGAACATTCCTGTGAAGTTTGGATGAAATTGGCTTAGTGGTTTATGAGGAGATGTCATTTAAAGTAAAAGTTTACGGACGGACGACGGACGGACGGACGACGGACGGACGCCGGACGAAAAGCGATCACAAAAGCTCACCCTGTCACTTTGTGACAGGTGAGCTAAAAATGATGTAAATTGAATTAAGGAAAACTGCATGATCTTAAAGGTTATTTGAGGGGAAGACACCTGTAAGCAGTCCCTGTTATAGAAAACATGCCCAGGTTGTATACAATACCTTGATATAATCCTCTGATGAGTAGAGATATTTATCTATCTGTGTAAGACCACCATCTACATCCCATAATAATATAAGACCTAGAGATGCTGTAGCTGTTAACATTCCTGTAAATATATGATACATTCAATATGAAAATCGGTTATTTGACTCAATAATGAAACATACTATAATATTCACCATTTTATAGGACAGATCTGCGATAAAGGACTTTAAATAATAACCATTCAAATTTCGACCAGCAATCAAGCTGACTGATGGAACATTGATTGACATACCTGCTACATGGTCACAATGATATATGACAGACATTCTGGGTCTTCCTTAATTTCAAAGATGAAATTATTTTATATGCCATATAATCAACAAGTGTGAATTAAATCCCAAATTTTTGTCTGTAGTTTTATTTGGTAATAGACTTACAATTATCAAAACAATGGCTATTTCTTCTCAACATCTGCACCAGTTTGAAAATATTACACATATTTGACAAGATAAATCTCTTGTTAGAATTGTTTGTTTGTTTGTTTCATTTTACGCCTTTTCCCAACAGTATTTCAGTCATATAGACGTGTAGTTTCCTAACCATCGTTCCTGGAGACTTACACCAGTACTAGACTACCTTCCTATGCGCTAAACAAAACATCTCCCGAGGATCGAACCCACACCAGAGAGGTAACTGGATTAGAAGTCATCGACTCTAACCCCTCGACCACGGTCGGTCTCTTGTTAGAAATAATCAACAAAGATTCTATACATCTAAATTAATATTACCATGTTCCTTGTTTTTATATAACCATTTATTTCCATCTTCCATGAGAAGTTTGTCCTGACCAAATGCAGCATTAACAAATCCGTTAACAAATGATGAAGCTAGATTCTGTCTGGCAGAGTCAACATTTGATGGTCCTATAGAACCTCCTGTAAGAGAGATGATTATATAGCTGCAGGATTAAAATGTTCATTTCATCTGATATATCTATAATTTCATACCATTACTATGCCATACCAAGTAGTGTTAAGAATTTGAAATGTGCATTCAATGATGGTAAGAAAATTATTTGACAATGAGTGTATTACCATTACTGTGATTACATTTGTTTTATAAGAATAAAAAGTTTATTTTACACTTTTTACTTTAATTTCCTTTTTTTCAGCATTAACATACATGTATCTACTGATTATTTGCTTTTTACCATACAAAATCAAACATGATGTGGATATGCATGGCACAACAACAACAACAACAACAAAACACTAGCTTAGTAGGTCTTTATAATAATTAAGTTCTTATCTATTAGGCCTCTATCCTGACTATTTAAATCATAAACAAAAAGCAAGCGTTAAATCTTTGCTGTATTTAACTTACTTGTTGGTTCAAGATGAGATTTGTATATATCTTCAGGTACTTTGGGTTCCATGATGTCCAACTGAAATATAACAAATAATTTTTCAGGTAAAATTAATTAATATACAACATTCCAGTTTTAACATTAACAGTTTTAGTTTGACTGTCAGAAATATTTATTAGGTTATCTAAATTACTTTCAAACAAAAAATGAACTTAAAAGGTTTTTTTTAATCACAAATCATGGTTTTTGATCTTAGCATGTCTTAAATAAATGAACCCTAAGTTGTGGAAGACACCTTTATTATAACAGGTCCTCTATTTACTGGTATAATAAATCTAAGCAATAATTTTAACAAGTTCTGACTACTTTATTTTGATTATGGTAGGGTTTTAAGTTACACCAAAAACTGTTACTGTTAAAGTCATATGGTGACTCTCTTGATTTTCTGGGGTTAGTAGAACCACAAACCTTCTGTCAGCTAGCTGGACAGCTTCCTCACAGGAAGAACTAATAAATCCTTAAGGAATTTTAGTCTGCAGTTAAGAGGTGCAAGTGATTCAAAGTCAATGACCTTAACCGCCAAACCACAAAGATCAAGTGTATGATAAATTGTTTGCTCTTGCCAAAATAACAGTTTTTCTTCAAGAATAATACTAGAACATTATATCTGAACAAAATTTTACATTATCTTGCATCAAATATGAACTAATAATTCCTGAAATGAGATCAGTGACAATAAGTTAAACATAAAGAAGGATATTACCTCTCCAGCTAGACTGACAGTATTTTAAACATATATTTAATGATATTTACCTCTCTAGCTAGAGCTAGGAAATGGTTATTAAGGTGGGCATTAGACATGATCTCTAGCTAGAGTGACAATACATTAAACATAAAGAAGGATATTTACCTCTCTAGCTAGAGCTAGGAAGTGGTTATTAAGGTGAGCATTAGACATGATCTCTAGCTAGAGTGACAATATGTTAAACATAAAGAAGGATATTTACCTCTCTAGCTAGAGCTAGGAAGTGGTTATTAAGGTGAGCATTAGACATGATCTCTAGCTAGAGTGACAATATGTTAAACATAAAGAAGGATATTTACCTCTCTAGCTAGAGCTAGGAAGTGGTTATTAAGGTGAGCATTAGACATGATCTCTAGCTAGAGTGACAATATGTTAAACATAATGAAGGATATTTACCTCTCTAGCTAGAGCTAGGAAGTGGTTATTAAGGTGGGCATTAGACATGATCTCTGGCTAGAGTGACAATATGTTAAACATAAAGAAGGATATTTACCTCTCTAGCTAGAGCTAGGAAGTGGTTATTAAGGTGGGCATTAGACATGATCTGTGGCTAGAGTGACAATATGTTAAACATAAAGACGGATATTTACCTCTCTAGCTAGAGCTAGGAAGTGGTTATTAAGGTGAGCATTAGACATGATCTCTAGCTAGAGTGACAATATGTTAAACATAAAGAAGGATATTTACCTCTCTAGCTAGAGCTAGGAAGTGGTTATTAAGGTGGGCATTAGACATGATCTCTAGCTAGAGTGACAATACATTAAACATAAAGAAGGATATTTACCTCTCTAGCTAGAGCTAGGAAATGGTTATTAAGGTGAGCATTAGACATGATCTCTAGCTAGAGTGACAATACATTAAACATATATAAGGATATTTACCTCTCTAGCTAGAGCTAGGAAGTGGTTATTAAGGTGGGCATTAGACATGATCTCTAGCTAGAGTGACAATATGTTAAACATAAAGAAGGATATTTACCTCTCTAGCTAGAGCTAGGAAATGGTTATTAAGGTGAGTATTAGACATGATCTCTAGCTAGAGTGACAATACATTAAACATAAAGAAGGATATTTACCTCTCTAGCTAGAGCTAGGAAATGGTTATTAAGGTGGGCATTAGACATGATCTCTGGCTAGAGTGACAATATGTTAAACATAAAGAAGGATATTTACCTCTCTAGCTAGAGCTAGGAAATGGTTATTAAGGTGAGCATTAGACATGATCTCTAGCTAGAGTGACAATATGTTAAACATAAAGAAGGATATTTACCTCTCTAGCTAGAGCTAGGAAATGGTTATTAAGGTGAGCATTAGACATGATCTCTGGCTAGAGTGACAATATGTTAAACATAAAGAAGGATATTTACCTCTCTAGCTAGAGCTAGGAAATGGTTATTAAGGTGAGCATTAGACATGATCTCTGGCTAGAGTGACAATATGTTAAACATAAAGAAGGATATTTACCTCTCTAGCTAGAGCTAGGAAGTGGTTATTAAGGTGGGCATTAGACATGATCTCTAGCTAGAGTGACAATATGTTAAACATAAAGAAGGATATTTACCTCTCTAGCTAGAGCTAGGAAATGGTTATTAAGGTGAGCATTAGACATGATCTCTGTCAGCTCATCGTAATCCTCCATCTCATCATTCAGTTCAAGATATACCTGCTGACGTCCTAACATAAATGCTAGCTGCTTCTGTACTAAACTAACAAACAGATAAAACAAACAAATATATTCATGTAAGGGCTCTTTAACTTATCTTTTTTTTAAATAAAAAATAGCAGTATTAATAGAAGCTTTTATCAAGATGACACTCATCAAATATAAACATTAATGTCCAAAGATCAAAGTGTGGCCTGTTAAATGTATTATGTTTGTTTCATACAAATCAATCTTTTCTGGCTGAATGACAGTAAATAGTCAATATAAAATCTATAAATCTGTTACCCAATTTCTAATTTTCATTCCTTAGCAAGCTTACAATCAATTAATCTGATAATTTTATGAAATTACTGAAAATTAACTTTAAAATAATAGCATAAGTTGATTCTTTTCCGAAATCAAATGTGTCAACATCTTATCAATAATCAATGACAAATCTCATTAGATATATACCTGTCTTTACAAGAATAGAAGATTTCTTCCACCAGTTTTTGATCATTCAGCTGCATGGCAAATCTTAATGCCTGAGGATACTGTTTAAATTTCCTGTATAAATCTACTGCTGTCTTAAGAAGGGTAAGATTCTCCGGGTCTGGTACATATGCTACACAGCTATAATAAAAACATTAAATTAACATAAGCATGTATAATTATGTATTCTATATTTGTCAGATATATCAGTGTCAATATATAGGAATATATTACTACTGTATAAACAAGACCTCCAGCAATCAAGAGACCTGACAGGTAGTTAAAGATATACATCATCAAATCAATTAGACAAATGACTTTTGACTAAATTTCTCAAAGCTCAAGAACATGGGTTTCTTTATATAGGGATGACTTTTTTTGTTGTCGAAAATTGAACTTTACAGTAATTATTAAAATAAAATTTCCTTAGATTAAACATTTCTTATGAGAAGACTGAGAAAATTTTCTCAATCAAGTGATAATTTATATGATTGATCAAAGTAAATACAATAAATTTTCCGATACAGGAATTGTCACTTCTAATAAGATAATAAAATACAATTTGTCCAAGATGATGCAAAATTGTCACTTCTAATAAGATAATAAAATACAATTTAACCAAGATGATGCAAAATTGTCACTTCTAATAAAATTTAACCAAGTTGATGCAAAAATATCCAAACATATAAATAAAAATAAACTCTTTATTTAACGAAGATAGCTTATAAAGACAATACATCAAACATAACACATATTAGAACTTAGGAAGATGCATTTATTATATTAGCTGTATAGACTACCTTGTCAGATAGAGACAGACTCTAGTATAAGCTGTATCATCAACATAATCTTGTAGAAGATCAAGTCTTTCTATCTCCATCAACAGATCACATCCCTCCGCCTCAGCATTGTGGGCCATATGATACGGCACAATCTCCTTGGCCATAATTAACAACCTCTCCTTTATATCCCTGTCTGCCTCGGTCAAGTCCTGCCATTCTATAGACACCTGACCAGCTAAATGTCTGTAAATATATCAACGTAAATTAAAGTCCTGTTATCATTGTGGTGATTCATAGTAAAATGCGCAACTATGGCTAACAAATGACAGTAGCATTTACATTTTCTGAATATTTTAAAAAGATCAGCACAATAAAATAATCTTAAGCCATGCAACTAAGACATAGTATTGTATCAAACTTTATGGGCCAAATAAAATCTGTTTATGAAAATATCTGATGTCTTTCCCTGGCCTTCAAAATTATGCTCTTGTCACATAATAACTGTGTGTTACATATAATGTAATAAAAACCTTTCCACTAATATATCAACAAATTGATCAACCATGTAAACTTTAGCTAACTAACAATTGCAGAACAGATAGTTGTGTGCTTATATTTTGTTGGTAAAGAAGCACAAAACTTAATTTATTAACTTCTATTTAAAGTTGCTAATGTGTAAATTGTTTCAAACATGAAAATAATACTACCAAATAAAATAGATTTACCTGACATATTCATGTCCCCATGAGCCAATGGCCTCTTTAGACCCTAAAAGCCTGTATTTCAAACTTTCTCTGTTATCACTGAAGGTCATTCCTAGTACTGAGATAATGTCAGCACAAAATCTCTGAAAGTAAAATAAGGTAATAAAAAAATACAAGTATTCATTTATACAGTTATACCTTAATCTTAAATGAACTTGATTATTTTTCAAAGTAAATTTGGTGTAACAATTCTGTCTTTCTGTAAATATTTATAGACACATTACATTTCCATTAACACCACTGATTTCTAATTTTTAATAGGCGATCATTAAAAAATGTTTGTTTACTGTGCTCCTTTCTAAGGTGGGTAGATAGGTCCATTTTTTTGTATGTAATTTCTTTTATGAAAAATATTTTGAAAAGACTTTAAAAAAAAACGTATCATTAAAGTTTAGATCAGTAAGTTTCAGTGTCAGCTGCTGCATGATTTTAATGATTGCATTGCTGAAAATGTTGTAAGTTTTTTCTATCAATACTTCATCAAGAAATTTATGCAGGAAAGTTGATATTATAAGTCAACACTGGAACAGACCTCTATCTAGATACATACAATATAGGACTGAAACACAGTCAATGAACAGAGCTCCAGATAATTTTTTTTGGCCAAGGAGTTTTTACCCCTCAAAATCTAGAGTGAGGGGTAAAATGCAAATTCAGAAAAACTTAAGGGGTAAAATCTGTCAAAAAAGCATTTTGCATTTTTTATAAACAAATTAATCTTACAATATTGTTTTTGTTTGTTTGTTTTCTTTTTTTAGAAAAACTTTTACAAATAAGATACTGATTCAATGTGAAACAGAACAAAACATGCTCTGTAAAGTCAGACTTCCAGAGTATACACAGCAAAATTATCAGGGCTTCCATTTTCAAAAATTTGGAAGTCAGACTTCAAAATCTCTGATATTGGAAGTCACATTTTATAGGTAAAGAAGGAAAAAGTATTAGATTTTGAAGTCACAAGCCAAAATGAAGGAGTAAATGACTCCCAAACTTCCACTAGTGGAAGCCCTGAAATTATTTTATATTCTAGGAGTCAATATTTTCTTTCTTTATTTCTGCTGGCATGTACCTTATCATGTACTCCATTTTGAACAATTGTAGTTGAAATTAGAATTAAAGAATAATAAACAAGATTTTTTTATCTTTCCTTAAAAAGGCATTGGTCTGAGAGAAAATTGTCTGTAACTGTATACTGGGTACGAAAATATTGAGTACAAAACTGCAGGTGAAAACATGTCTTTTTTTTGTTCCAAACAAAAAAGTGAAAAGAAATTAAAATATATTTTTGTTATGATATTGAGGCATAAGCATGTCAATAGATGCCTAAACAAAACAATACTATGTTAAATCCTATGATGATTAGCTGGCTAATTTCACAGGTGATATACGCGAGAGTTATCTCCCTTCTGTACTTCCTGTTACTTTCGTTTTTAACATGCGATGTTGACAAACAGAATTTTTTTTAGTTTTTAAAGCAATAAAATGGAAATATATTTGATTTTTTATGCTAAAAACATCCTCTTTCTAAATATCAAATGTTTTACACTTCTATTCTTTAACGCTTAAATTTTGACATACAAGCGCATTTTCATTTTGTTTAGCGAACTTTGACGCATGGATTTTTGAAAGTGATGCGTATTTTAGATTTTCTATACGTATTTTACGCTGATACGCACACTATCTGGAGCTCTGATGAATATAAGATTTTGAATTTACTGGCCCGAATTCTAGTTTTGAATTTATTCTTCTATATATTTAACTAAATTTTCTTAAAATTGACACTGGCCAGAACTAATTTACACTGGCCATGGGCTACCAGGCCAGTGCTAAATTCAATGACTGGAAACAATATTACTTGCTGGCAATAAACTTAAAGTAAACTAAATACACTTCAAAATATTTCTCTTATATAATGTTATTAATATCAGTGATATTTTTTAGGGAAAACAGCCTTTATTTGGCTGTAAAATACTGGGGGAAAAAATCACTGAATATTGATATATGGATAAAAGAAATACAATAAATACCTGCGTTTCTTTATCTTTGATTTTTTCATAAACAGTTTTCAGGGTATCATAATGAGGCCTCAAGAACTTGAGAGGTTTTGGTACGGAGGTCATCGAAGTTGTTGATGCTCTTATTTGTGTCCTTAGACTTTCCAGAGCAGGCTTATATAAAGCTTGGTTAGATTCCTGAAAATAATGAAGAGTTTGTTTTATCTTTAACTGATGTTAAATGATCTATAGAGCCACTGTGTATAACTTTAAAAAAATGTAATAGCCAATTATTGTTTATCATATTTACAGAAAATTTATAAGAAATTGAAAATTTGCCATTTTGAAGTTTATTGCATTTCCTGAAAGTTGATTATTTATATTGAGATATTACACATAATTAAAGAAAACATAGTACTGTCTCAATAAGAAAGAAAAAATCCATGCTTTATCATATATGAGAATGATCTCAATTTTACAGCTAATCAATTATCTGTTAAATGCCACATGATATCATACAATATGTCATTCATTATGTGAAATAAGTATGTCTATATTACTACTTACTGTCAGTCTTTCCACTAACATGTTCAACTCATCTTGTAGCTGCTTATCTTCTTCAGACTGAAATAAAAGACATGTACAATTTCAATACAAAATCCCATCAATACATTTGTCTAATAGACCTGTCTCACATAATACATTTTTTTCCTCTGAAAATCACAGATTTTAATAATTAATTAATTCCGTGAGAAAATACAAAGAGAAATAAACCGAAACATTATTAACATAACATATATACAGTAAATTGTTATGTTATACATTTGTAATATAATTTTTATCTTTATCATTTTTTGCGGCATTGAAAATTTCGGTTCAATCACAGACCGGACTTTAAAGTATGTGGGTATGTGGGTCAATATCCAGAGGTAGTAAGATTATAACAAAATAATTTTAATAAATATAAATTGTAAATAACATTAAATTTACATCGGCTTACAAAAACAACTTGATTAAAGCTGAATTTATTTCTGATAGATCTATTAGTTATCTTAGTCATAAGATAAATGGCCGAATATCGTCCATACATTTATTTATAAAAAAATATATATTATCATAATACATTCTTTGTGAAAATGTAATTTAAGACGTGGAAGTTACTGACTTTATCATTTCATTTATTTTTCATTGAAAAAAATGCTGTTGGGCTATCCTATAGTGCCTATAGACTGGACATACATAGCTCAAAAACTGCTAGAAATTTCTTTCATTTAACATTAGTCATTATTGTTAATTTTGAAAATTATACAGGGAAGTCATAGGCCGAGCTGCGAAGTGGGTCCAGGCTTAGGCTTGCCCGCCTACTACTACACATGTACATTTAAATGAAAATCAAAAAAATAAAAAAATAAAAGAATATATCGAATTCAATACTTATCAATGAAATTTTCAGTGTTAGTTCTAGTTGGGCGCAGCCATTTTCAATGTAACTCAATGATAACAGGGGGGGGTATTCCGATAAAGAATACTGGCAACTCTTCGGATTAGATCTAATATTAATTGTCAAGATTTCTGAGTGAAAACGGAAGGGGTGAATGAAATACCAAATGACACCTTTAAAACGGCAAAATCAATGATTTTTTGAACTGATATCCTGTTCATAGGCTTTGCCTTTTTTTCATATATCCTTCATTCCTTGTCAAATACCGTTTCCCAAATTCTAGCAAAACACAGTTAAATTCTCAATCCCAAGTGTATAGGTCATGTTCCCGAAAAATTATGCAAAAAAAATAATCTTTTAAGTGGACACCAGAACTGAATGAGTGAGCAAAAACTTGAAAAGGGGTCCTAATCATGTAGATGTGCAAGTAGAAGTATTTTAAACTGTTTTTCATTATTTGGGTACGCGACCTAATTGTTTGTCGTAAATTCTTGATATAAAAAAAGGATTATTTTCATAATAATGACTATAAGCTGTCAAACAAAATGTTGCATTTACACGAAAAACATGTTTGTCACAGCTTCAGCTTACCCCACCCACCACCAGTTAAAGCGGTGTGACAAAGCAGATATGTTTCTACAAATATATTTTTGTTCAATATCATTTCATCGGAAAGAAAGATCACTAAGCTTAGATATACTGTTATGTTTTTTAATTCTTACAAGGTCCATCTCTTTCTCGTCTTCCTTTGCTTTCTTATCATCCTTTTTATCTTCAACAACTTCTTTCTTAGTGGTGTCCGCCATGTTTGCCGGTATCTATTTTGTTATGAACCGAAAGAAGACGGAATGAGCGAGAAGACCAAACAGCAAAAAGGACTATACTATAATTTTGACAATTGGTTGTTAAGTACTAAACACAACTTTTCCTCTCTTTTTTTTAATAAGGACCAGTTTCATAGACATATAACTAACATCGAAAGCCATTCCAGATATGAATATATATGCACAAATAATATGTTAAAAGCAGAAAATTTCTTAAAAATTACTGTTTTTATTGATGCATAAGCTTCTTCTTCCAATATAGTACAGACACCTTCCGGCGTATACTCGTACTAGCGCAGCGCGGTGTGAGAAGTGTCTATATACAAGAGTGATTTAAAAAAGTACTATGTATAGTGCTGGTAAAAAGGTAAAAACACCGGACTGTCTATCGGAGAGTGAGTGGGAGTACTTCCCTCTTGAAGCTGTCTATGGTTGTACAGCTTACAACTGTCTGGGGAAGACTGTTCCAGAGGCGGATGGTGTCTGGGAAGAAGGATCGCTGGTAGCACTGGGTCCTTGCAAATGGTACCAGGTAGTGAAGTCCATGTCCTCGAACAGAGATGACTGGGGTGAGGTTGGATGTAGGGACTTCTACTAGGCCATTTACTATACGGTACATCATGGTCACCTTGGCATGGGCTCTGCGTTCTCGGAGGGTAGGCCACTGTAGGTGTTGCAGCATCGATGTCACACTGCTGGTTCTTCTGTAGTCTGAAAAGACCATTCTTGCTGCTCGGCGCTGCACCATCTCCAGTTTCCAGATATTTGCCTCAGTGAAAGGGTCCCAGATGATAGAGGAGTATTCCACCAGAGGTCTCACGAGGGTCATATAGCAGAGCTCTTTGGTCCTTCTTGGGCATTGATTGATGTTTCTCTGTAGAAAGGATGTGGCATTGATGGCTTTCTTTGTAGTTAGATCAATGTGATGGTTCCAGTTTTTAGTGACTTTTGGAAGTTGAGGCCTAAATATTTTGCTGTATCTACTTCTTCTAAGAATGTGTCCATGGATGTTATATGGTTGTCTGATTGGTTTTCTCTTGTTTGTTATGTGGAGTATCTGGCATTTTTGAGGGTGGAATTCCATCAACCAATCCCTTTTCCATCTTTGTAGTCCATCTAGGTCTTTTTGTAGGGCTATAGCATCTTGGTCTGAGTGGATAGAGCGGTAAAGGGCACAGTCGTCAGCAAAACATTCTAGTGGTGGATTCAGGTGATACATAGTTGGGTAGATCATTAATGAAGATGAGAAATAAGAGAGGTCCTAGAACACTGCCTTGTGGGACACCTGACTGGACAGGTGCTTCACCTGATTTGCTGCCGTCTAGTAACACTCTCTGGCTCCGATCCCCTAGGAAGCTGTTTATCCACTTTTTTTAAGCTTAAATGGATTTTACTTTTAAGATTTGTTACATGTAAGTTGATATGTGTTTTATGATCTTTGTTATTATCAGTAAATAGCTTATTAGGTAATTTTCTTTTTAATTTGTATCCCAACTTAAAATAAAGCTTCTTGTAAAACTTGTTTCTTCAAAATAGATAAATAATTAATTCATAAAGGATAAAAATGGTTGAGAGTTATACCACGTGTATTTAATCTAATTTATGTTTAATGTTGCTGTTTCGTTTTTCCCATCTTGTCTTGTTTTAAGGTAGAACACCCCTAATGGGCACTATAAGGAACTTTAGAATTGACAATATAGCACAGTTATATGCCTTAAATGTCACCTGTATGCAAAATTTAAACAAAATTTACCGTGTGGTTTATGAGTTATGGACATTTTTCTGAACAAGAACTTTGCCATTAGAAGGGCTTTTTTTCAAAAATGAGGAAACTCTGAATAATCTATTTTATTATCATTATGAAAAAATGTTTTACTATCGCTCATTGTTAAGAAACAAATAATGATATTAAGGTAACAAATTAAACAAGCAAAATGATTGTTTTTAAACGAAATGTTTTTAATATGTATAAAATAGTAACCCTACCCACCCACTTTTAACACTTTTTGACCATTTCCCTATGTAAATAGCCTTACTTAAAATATTCCTAAAATTTTCAACAATGAGGGGCTGTTTTCAAAGTTTGCCTAAATTTTCTAAAAAACATATAGGTTGGTATTGCAAATTATAAAATACTTTTACCGTGTAGTTTTTATTTTATTAAACTTTGAAAATATCTGGTGTTATTTGCTATTAAATTTGGCATTATTTAGTAAATAAATACCTACAATAATAATATAATTAAAATGAAACACTTTTTTTCCATTGGGATCTGAGAGATAAATAAAAAATGTTAAAAAGGAAAAAAGAAAGAAAAAAAGTTGCCCATTCTGGGGTTTGAACTTTGAACCCACATCCCTCAGTTTAAATACACTTTACAGTGATTCTAGCCTATTTGAATACTCTTCATAGTGGAGATAGTGCATTAGGGGTGTACTACCTTAAATACTGTACATTAGTTGCCTTTTCAAACTTTGGATTGGTTTGATCCAGTATATCGTTGCTGTCCCAATTGTTTTTTTGTTGTTGTTTTTTTATGTTTTTTTCTTTGTTTTTTTTTTTTAATTATTTTTTTTCCATCATTAAGATTGTGCATGCAATTCCTTTTTATATTCACCATGTCCAATGTTATATATAATGTATCTGCTTTTTTTTCTTCTGATATTGCATATATGTTTGTAATATAATTTGTATATATGTTCATGCTCTTTAATTCTGGAGGAAATAAAAGTATTTAATTACCTCTTGTCCTTTTTGCTTTATTTTTTTTATGTGCAGTTTTTACTTTATTTGCTACTCTTACTTTAAGTTGATTAACAATCTTTTAGTAAATATTTAGTAACTATAGATGTTAACTTGTTCTAAATTTTTTATTGTTTTTATTTTATTACAATTCAATCATCAGCTCCCTTTATGTTATGATATTTCTATTACATTACAGCTGTTACACCCCTACAATATGTACTGTACATGTCACTGCATATTTTTCTTAAAATTTACTGCTTTCATTCATGCCCAAGCCACATACAATAAATGTATATTTTTACTTTTCAAATTTGTTATACATGTATGTTATACCCGAGTCATATCAGCCCTAGGACGCAGTAGAAAAGCCTTGGATACAGCAGGGTTCAGTTGAGAACGAGTGAAGTCACCGTAAGGATGCAATCAACACCTCAGGACACAGAGTAATGATGACTATTTTAAACATGCACAAGACGCCATGTAAATGCAGTATAAATGCCATAAACATGCTGGAAAAGCACACAATAGGACGCGGGTGTGACAGCTAACAGAAATTTGCAAAATTGTCAAAAATAACATTGGGGTTCTTAGTTTGACTTCAGCATTATACTGAAAAAACACTGGTTTAGATTGCTGTAAGAACAAGAAGTTGGTGCGATAATATGTTTCATGGTCTTTGTTATTGTCAGTAAATAACTTCTTAGCTAATGTTTTTAATAAGATGTAACCAACTTAAAGCTTCTTGTATCTTGTATTTGAGTTAAGAACAGTTAGTTTCCTTGAATTAAGTTGTCATGACAATCATATGGTGACCTTCCAGCTTCAACTGGTGAGGGGAAACAACAGGTACCTCTCTGATTATATAATTTCAAAAAACAACCATCCTTCTTCTGCGAGCATGCTATACAACTATAGATTAAAACATAGAATCAGACACATATTGTTTTTCCAACCAGTTTGTGAAATTTTTAACAATACACAAATATCATTATATTTATAAGAAAACATACATCCTCAAAGGGTATCTTACATGAACAGGAAAACACTGAAATTCTTGTTCAATTTTGTTAGTAAATGTCAAGCTCTCAACATGGAGGGTCCACGAAAAAACAAGTTAATAATAATTATTATCTATTTTCATATTTTATTTTATCTTTATAAACAACAATCACACTTAAACAAGTGGAAATTATCTAACAACATAAAAAGTCATTAAAACATCAAAGGAAACATTCTTGTTTATATTTTAATGTTTCAATAAACAAAATTTCAAGTATCAGCTATGAAGATAATGATAGTCAGATCTGAAATAACTCACATGTAACAAGATAATGTATTAAAATGCTGAAAATTTCAAAACTTAATATAAAACTAAAACATTTATTTTTTAAGTTTGCAAATGTCTCTGTAAAACAATGCTTCAGCTGCTTGACACTTTTATCTTTTTTAACAATGATTTCCTTGTTTGATTTTTTAATTTCAATTTGTGAAAAATGCAAACTTCCTTAACTGTAAAACACACACAAAATTGAATTACTAAAAAAATCTTCACTGTTAAAATTAAAATATTCAATTTTTGTATTAAATCAACCAGCATCGGAAAGTAGTCAGTTCTTTATAGTTTATATATATAGTTTAGAGAAATCTATCACTTTGCATACTGAATCATGCACTTTACATATTGCACAATCACTGCTACAATATTTGTAGTTTTGACAAAGTCACTCATCTACTAACATATTTGTTAAACTAGAAATGTGTCATCATGCCACGGATGCCCCCGCATGCAGCCAAAATTTCAGATGGTGCATTAATTATTTTTTTCATTTTAAGTTCAAAGCCCTTAAAACTTTTCAATGTTAACACAAACCATTTTCATACAATGTTCAAGGCACTGAAATTATTCAGTCTTAACCTTTTAAAAATAGCATATTGCATATTTGTAGCCAAAATAATGGCTAAAAGTACGAGTGCTGAAACTGAAAGTTCAAAATTTTTTTCCAACATTCAGGAAAGATAAGTTTGTCTAAAATCATTGAACCACAACCAAATTCAAACTTAAACTGCTTATTTCTAAGATGTATGTATATTATTTTCAAAGTGAAAGGGACATAACTCTGCAAAAAAATCATCAAACCATGACCAAATTCCAACTTGACCTGTCCATTCCTTTGACATATCCATATGTCAAATTTAAGTAGAATATGTAACACTGTTGGGTAGATAATGAACGGAAACTGTAAATTTCATATTATTTTCAAAGTGAAAGGGGCATAACTCTGCCAAAAATCATTGAACCATGACCAAATTCCAACTTGGCCTGGGCATTCCAAAAACATATCCATATGTCAAATTTGAGTTGAATGTGTTGTACCATTGGGGAGATAACAAACGGAAACTGAAAATTTCATATTACTTTCAAAGTGAAAGGGGCATAACTCTGCCAAAAATCATTGAACCATGACCAAATTTGAACTTGACCTGCGCATTCTTTTGACGCATCCATATGTCAAGTTTTAGTTGAAGGTGTTGTACCTATGGGGAGATAATGAACGGAAACTGAAAATTTCATATTATTTTCAAAGTAAAAGGGGCATAACTCTGCCAAAAATCATCGAACCATGACCAAATTCGAACTTGACCTGTATTTTCTCATGACATATCCATATTTCAAGTTGAGTTGAATGTGTTGTACTGTTGGGGAGATAATGAACGGAAACTGAAAAATTCATATTATTTTCAAAGTAAAAGGGGCATAACTCTGCCAAAAATCATCGAACCATGACCAAATTCTAACTTGACCTGTATTTTGTCATGACATATCCATATGTCAAATTTGAGTTGAATGTGTGCAACCATTCTTAAGATAATGAACGGAAACTGATGATGACGGAATGACAGAATGACGGAAGGATGGAAGGACGGAATGACGGAACAGGGTAACACTATATGCCCCGGCCATTACATGGCGGGGGCATAAAAAAAACTTATTGCTCAATTGTCTTTATATATTAACAAACCTTAAGTTCGAGTCTGACACATAATTCAAAGTAATTATATACATGTAATCCTTATAACAACTACATGTTCAATTTCTTTGCTATTCTATTAAACAGTAAACATCTGTATGTATCTGAATCTCAAATACAACAGTTACCAAGTTATACATCCTCATCTATAATACTGTCACTTGTTGAATATTTCTTTAACATTTAGAATGATGTCATGAAATTCATATTACCACAATCTGACATTTGCTTAATTCAAATATCTGTACAAAAACATGCATAATAACTTAACCGGTATAATTGAAATAATTCATTATCTAGACTAACAATGTTAGTATCAGTATCACATTAAAGGGTTTGATCTTTTAGAAGCTGGTCGTCCACTTAACATTAATTCTGGATTTTCAATAATGTCTCTAAAAACTTCTAGAAATTGTGACGCCTCTGCGTCGTCAATTACACGAGCATCGTAAGATAAAGTTACTGTCATCTGAGATTCGGGCTTTCCATCCTGGCCCAAAACAACACGTGATGAACCAACTGCCATAATGGCCGTCTGTGGTGGGTTTATGACTGCAGAAAATTCTCCAATACCAAACATACCGAGGTTTGAGATCCTGAAATACAAGGTAAAGTTTAGCTTTAGTTGAAAAACAAATACAACAAAGAACAGGCATGACTATTATGCTAATAGGTAGTAAATTTCTATTTAACTACTTAATGTATAATTCTATATATCTTAAACCATGGCCTTTCTGTAAGCTTACAAAGACAATTGTCTATTAACTAAGGCACATTTTCCCTCAGAAATATATACATTTTTAATACTTTAGAAATGTCAAACATGTGGTAAATAATGTTTTAATTATGGATTCAGAGCATACTAGATCTTTAACTACTGAAGAAAGTTGAATGTGTAGTAATGTGTCATAATAGTAGCAAAATGTAAACAACAAATGAGTATCTTTTTTAAATTGTATCAAGATACCAAAACTAAAAGGTTTTTGAGAGATAAAAATGATAGAATTTATTAGACATGGGGATTCATGGTAGTCAGCGAAAGTTAAGGAAATACAACTTTACCTCCAGTCCTTTATAATGTCTACAACTTATCTTTAATATATGTTTACTTATTTTTAATATAACAACTGATCAATCCTATAACTAATACATATATTTCTTAACAAGTGTAATAAAAAAAAGTTGAAATAAATACAATGTTTCAATGTCTCAATTAAAACAAGAAAGAATACCATTTAAAATTTAAACTTTGTATTTAAGTAATGTTTCACTTACGTAAAAGAGCCACCCTGGAACTCATGAAGCTGTAATTTATTTGCTCTAGCTCTCTCAGCCAGGTCCTGAAATGAAAATACAAATGTCTTACATCAAAAATATATTATCATTGCTATCAGTGATATAGTAAATTACCATTACCACATTATTTATTTTAAAATACATCATAATAATGCATAGATAATTAACATAGGTCAATTTTAGGTTTGACGAACAACATATAAGTACATTAATGAAAATGCTGAAATAAAACTGCAAAAAAACATCATGTCAAAATTTATAATATCTTTTTAAACAGATTCTCTGTAAAAACAGACAAAATGCATACATGAGTAGACATTGGATTCAAGAAATATTCTACAATGTTTTAGCTTAAAGCCTAAGATCTTGTTTATTTTCATTAATTAATTATGCTAAATCATTAAATTCAGTAATATAACAGGCTGTATCACAACTTACTTTCACTGTAGCTGATATTTCATCTACTGCTAAATGAGGAGTATTTTTAACTATAGGTGTAATAAGTCCATTATCTGTTGCCACGGCAACTGAGATGTCAACATTTAGTAAAGAACTAGGGCTATCATTTTCCCATACAGTATTCACTTGAGGCACTCTCTGAAAATATCAAATATATCAATGAACAAGCATGGCATAAGAAGTGTTGAAAACTCAATCACACCCATTTTACTAAAATAATCCTTTTTCTTTGGTTTAAAAAGCAACAACACAAAAACTGACAACAAACAACATAATGTTTGATAAAAATTTCAAAAGCAGTATAGAGTGATGCCCCTTTATCTTTGAAAATTACAATAAATCTTTACACAAATTATGAATTTAAGTGTGAAAAGACAAAATTAGCCTGGAAACTTCATTACAAATACATATAAAGTTTAACAGGTATGTAAAGAGATTGCAACTATTACCTGTAGTGCGAGTGCTGCAGATTTTATGATAAAATCGTTGACCGAAACTTTAACGTCTTCTTGTTTTAGCTGTTTGCGAAGTTTTGTTACAGGACCAACATTACAATTCATTGTAGCATATGAATGTGGGATGGTTGTCTGAAAGTTAAATATAAACATCAGTGCTGACACAAGCAGTTAACCTAATATATTACATGTAGAGATTCATAGCTACTGCATTGTAACATTTTTCTTGCATACAGACTGGTGTTTCAATGGAATATGGTAGAATATGCAAGAAAAAATATCTGATGTGTTTGCAATTCGGATCGGAATATCCATTCCTCAGGAACCAGCCCGTGGGCGGTAATGAGGCAAGCCTTGTTACCGACAAATGAGCTGGTCCCGTTGAGATGGATATTCTGATCTGAACCGCAACATATGACAGATATTATCAATCTAAGTTTCAATAACCATACATATAAGTAAAGTCTATACTGATTAAAAGGTTTTAAACTGAGTGGAGCTCCAGTTAATTAGATTGAAAGTTTTACAATTCATATGGTCCAAAAATAAAGAAATCCAATTGACAAATTGACATTAAAGTTTACAGCATACAAAGAAATGCTCCCACATCTAGAAGACAAGACAGCATATGAGTACTTCATATGTTTTCATGTGTAATACTAATAATCTGAATAAATGGGCAGTATATTGTAACAAATCATACAATATCAGAAATAATAACATGAAAATCAGAAACAAAAACATTAAGTATCATTATGATTGAAAACCTGCAAGTGTTAACTTTATATCTCTGTATTCACTCTCACTGTATACTGTAAATTGGATATGTTTGTTTGCTTGGGTTTTATGTCACACAGACACAGTATAGGACATTCTAGCTTTACTGGTGGAGGAAGACCTCAGATGCCCTTCCATACATTATTTCAGGTACGGACGGGCACCTGAGTAGAACCACCAACATTCCATAAGCTAGCTGTATAGCTTCCTCACATGAAAGAATCAAAAGTCCCTATCGAATTCAAACCCACAGAGTTGAGGGGCAAGTGGTTTGAAGTCAACGACCTTAAGCACTCAGTCACAGATGCCCCTGTAAACTGGATACAGATACCTGTAATAATGAGAAACTCTTATGTCGACAACTCCTGATAATGTGTATTATAATTCAGTTTTGATCTATATAAAATGTATATAAGAATGATTGTACCAACCTTTGATAGTGTTAATCTCTTTGCTATAGTGCTTCTCATTCCAGAGTTTGGTATATCAATAAATTCTTCACCATCTACAAATTCAATAAAAGAATTGTAATAGAAGGTAGTCAATTTTTACAAAGGCCAGCCAACATTTTTCTCATATAAACTTAATGACATTAACAGAATTTGCAACTTGTAATTTTTTTTTCATGACAATATTAATGCCATATATAGCACAAAAGTCAACTTATCAACAAATGAGATATTACTATTTGTTACTTGCACAATTTTGCAGGTTGTTTTTTAAGATTTTGATTTTTGTTTTGCAAGTATGCATGCTTTGTGCTCAACCCCTACATATTTTAGTTGCTGTTATCATTTTGTTGTTTAAGGGGTCATGACCCATACAAGAGAGGAAAAAAAAGTGCGCAGACCTGTTAAAAGGGGGATTTTTCTTCTATGTATAATGTAGGGTTGGGTTTTTACAATTGTATTTTACCCCATTTTAATATTTTGTCTCATAAAAGAATGACAGGGATTGTAATACATATTTAAACAGTTTTATGAAAAATCTAACATTCCAAGACAAATAAAAGATTCCTATCACTGAAAAAGAGAATAAAGGAGAAAAAATCTTATATTTCAGGCATGAATGGAATGGTACACATGTACATAATTTATCCCAATATTTTGACCCTGCCCCACAAAAGAAATAAATGTTTACTGCTTATAACCTTAAACATCCTGAATCTACTTCAGCTAACAAAACATGCAAGTGTAAGATAGATACCATACATATGTTATTCAGATCAATCAGATCACAGATATACTTACCAAGTTCTGGTATAATAGATGGGATATAACTGCCTGTAGATGGTGTAGATGCTACTGCTGGAGTTATTTCCCCTGATACAGGCTCCACAGACAACGACTGTCTCTGTAGATTGTTTGACTTTATGTACTTAACAACGTCTCTGTAATACACATTTAAAATCATTAAAAATTTACTGGTTTATTTTTCACTTTTTCCTACTATGTAAAAATCTTGCACATTCTTTTTTTCCATGTCTTATAAAACAAATGTAATCCAGCATTGTAATCTAATGCTTCACTACATAGAAGTTAGATGTAGAAATCTTCCTGCAGATCAGAAATTTTCACGACAAAAATATTTCATAGCACATTTTGCATAGCATTACTTCCTCTAATCTGAAAATAAAACTTTTTTGCATTCAATGCTTCTCTTTAACTCTTAGCATGCTAGCAGCTACCAAGTCTGAATGTACCCATGGTGCAAACAGTTTAGAATAAGATCAGCCAACAAATCTGTACCATCTGATCACTGTCAACACTATTCACTACTCAGTCAGTATAAATCTTTAAATAAACTCTAAAAATGATGAATGGTTTTGTTAAGAATGAAAGATGGACAAGTCTATTTAAGATATTTAACATGATAAAGGTATGATAATGAAACACATTATAAGATAAAAGCTCCAGTCTGATTTCTTTCTCTCTATGTACACCAACTCACCCCTTTGTTATTCTATTATGTGGTCCTGATCCACTTATTTTATTAACAGGGACTGCATATTCCTCCACTAACTTTCTCACAGATGGTCCAATACTATTACAGATAAATAATAATAGTACATTTGTGTCATTATAATGATATAAATATGAATGCAATTTTGTAACTATGATAATCTATTACAGAAATGCTTGTGTGCTTCTATTTAAAATATAAAAATAGCCAGAGACCAATATTAGAAATTTAGATCCTCATCATAATTACAAGAATTGTTAAATCAGTTATCTGTTGTCAGCTGTGACTTGTCCCAACAATTTGAACTGTTAAAATTAAGTAAAAGCAGAATAAATGTGATATCAGTAACAGAATAGAGGAATATCTTTTTCTCTATAATAAATTCTGTATTAAACTCTTGAGCACTGTGTCAGCCAATGAAAATAATCATTAAATTTAATGTTATAAATGTTTTACCCATGAGCATGTAAATCTTGTGGTACAGCCACTGGGCTTTGTGTAGTTGGGCTAGGGGCAGTACTCGGGCTTGGACTGGAGGCGGCGGAGGTTTGAGCAGTCTGTTCGGCTGGCGGTTCAGTTTCAGCCGGTATTTCAACATTCTGCCAATCATCTCCTTCCTCTACCATGATAGCAATCAGTGTTCCGATCTTCACTTCAGTCGAATTCTCAGGTTTCTGATAATACAAACGTTTTATAATATCTGTTATCTTTTTTTAAAATCCTTCCCCTTTTTTTCCTTCCAAAAAGTAGGCATCATTGATGATCAATATGAATTTTTTTGACAGCCTATTTCACATAAATTGTCTAAAACAGCATTTATTTAACTGTTTATTTATTTCTTTGATCTGGACAAACACTATGCATGTGTACAGTAGTAGGTCAAAAGTTTAGTTAATTAGAAGGTAATAAGAAGAAAATAAACATCTTGGACAGCTACAGTCTTATCTTTTGAGCTGTTTAAATTGTTTATATTTCCTTATAAGGGTCTTACTATTACATACAATGTAGAAAACTAAATATTGTCTAAGTATCAAGACCAATCTAAGAAAACAAGAAGATTTCTGGTTTTAGGTTTTGTCTCAATAAAGGTAATTATGCATTATATGTGTTCAAGATAAAATTAAATGGTGATCTTTAATGACTGATTTTGGAAAAAAATTTCATTGTAACAATTTCAAAACTGGCTGGCTTCATTCATGTCTACAAGCTCAACTTCATATCATTTGGCATATAGTTAAATAATAATACAAAAGTTTGAAAATTACAATTATTTTTGCCATGATTCCTTCTTCTTCAGTATCAAAAGAAACAACAGCTTTGTCAGTTTGTACATCACACAAAACATCTCCAGCATTTATAGTATCTCCTGTAAAATATTGAAAATAAACATGTTTATATTATATACAATGTGTTTTAAAAGGGAGCATATACATTGGGCACTGCGAGACTTGAATGACTGAGGCAAAGTACAAGTTGATGTGAAAAGAGAAATATGTTTGACCTATTACGAAACCCCCTTTTGCATATAAGGATTAAAGATTAAAAGCAACAACCAGTATTTTATTCATATTTTATTTATTAATGATTACTACCCTATGACAATGACAGTGATTGTTTTCCCTATATTTTACAGCTGAATAAAGGCTGTTTTCTCTAGCCCAGAATAGGTATATTTTCCCCTAAAAAGTCTATTGATATATTTTCCCCTAAAATGCCCTGTGCACATTCAGATTTTTCTTCAGAACCATGACTTAACAGCAGCTGATATATCAGCTAGTTGATAAATCTAACTGACTGAAAGACAGTAAGCTGTCTCTATAGATAGCCTCTGCTATGTACCATGCATGTTAAATTGCAATTGAAAATTTTATCAAACATGTGTGGGTAAATTCCATTTGATTTGATTTCAGGTTTTCCCCCTTTTCTGATTTATTGTGCTACATTTTCCCCTTCAGAAAGCCACAGGTTGTTTTGAAAATTGCAACAACAAAAAATCACTACATATGAGTAGACTTTACCAGCAGGATGAGTGGCTTTAAAAAACTTTCTAGCCCTTTAAGACACTAATTTTTTCTTCCTATTTTATGAAATATAACAAATTTTATATACTAAAGTCCATGCAATATTTGTTTTATAACAAATATACATTTAATTATGTTAGGATGTTAAAAAATGTTTTTGTTAGCACTAAGTAAATTACCTTCCTTTTTGTACCATTTTACTATGGTTCCCTCTGACATTGTTGGTGACAGGGACGGCATTAAAATCTGACTGGCAGCTGAAACAATGAAAATATGATAATTAAAAATTGGCAAAATCAATTTTTTACAACAATCCTAACTAAGGTAATTTACATATTACACGTTTAATGCAGTAGCCAGTAATTGTATTTGGAAAATAGTTTCATTCATAAAAGTTAAGATCAGTTTGGTGTGCAAGTATGAAGAAAATCCATAAGAAAAAAATGCAAGAGCTGTCAATAAGACAGCACACTCGACCATTGATAGATCCTTACTTTGACCTTTTATATGTACCCACAGTCTTCAATTTTTATGCATGCATGTAGAATTTAGAGCATAAATTCCCAGCATTCTACAGTTTTGCTTTCTGAACCAGAACATTGATGATTATTGAATAATGTTTTACAAAATGATATGTTGGCACAATTGCAATGCCAGGAACTCTTCTCTATTGGTTGGATAAAAATGTGTTTTCGAGTCTGCAATCTTTACTTTTATTCAAAATATTTTGACATGCATAAGCTAGATTCTGAGTTATTTTGTTCTGGGTCAGAATCTCGCTTCTACCATATGTGACAACTGAATATATTGTCTTATATTTTCGTAGCTAATATTAATAAGTAAAGGGGAGATATTGCCCATATATAAAATAGCACAATATCTCAATGCATATCACAATTAGCTGAACTATCTTTTAAATTACTTTATTGAGACTTGATAGTAACTGGGATTTTTCTTCTAGAAATGGATAAATTTAAATGGTTTAAATTAAGTTTTATCATTAAGATGGCAGTCTTTCCGAAAGACCGTCGGACCGTCGGCCCTGACCGGTAAAAAATCAGAAGGTCCGATAAAAATATATGTATTGACAGCCCGACGGTCCAGTAAAAAATTAAGGTTTTATTAAAACCGTACATTCAACATTTTGCAAAGGCCGATCATTTACCTTAATTCAAAACATATCAAAATGTTGTCATTACACAATATAAGCTCGTGCAATGCTTGTCAACTGTTATGCATTCTCATAATTTAACTACGTAAGATAAAAATATCCGACAACTAGTACAATTAAAAGTCAATAAGCGGCCGTGTAAATTACATAAGCGGCCCAGATGTGAAAGGTCACCCGCTATTAGTTTGTTTACACAGATGAAAGTGTCAGTGTATTAATTGGAACAATTTACGTCTTTAATCCACAGACTTAGAGTAATGCTTAATTACACGTGTGCTCAACTGGTGTTTAGCTATGAAAGATCGTCCAAGATGTTGACAAAAATTAAACTATACTGTGAAGGTACCAAAATCATAGAACAATTAATCTGTCAACTTCACTAAATTACCGATATATATAGTTCTGTTTACATATGCCAGACTTTTGCTGAAATTTACCCTCTCATTTTGCTAGTATATAGTCTGTATGCAATTAAAGTTTAAATAGCAAAATCCATTGAATACATGTATAACAATATTTATGTTTACATTTTGATTGTGGTGAAAAAAGATAACTTCACTTTGTTGATAATATAATTTTCTTTTTGTACACAAATTTTTTGACTGCTGACACTTATCAAGTGACTCAAAATGCTATACCAATCAGGTTTTTTTCGGTCCAGTAAAATCATGTTTGGTCCAGTAAAAAATTTCAGTTTACAGGACCTACTGTCCAGTAAAACTCAGAAGTCTTTCGCATAGACTGAGATGGATGTCCCATCTGTGATAAATGTTAGAGTTTGATTTTTGTTAGTTGATAGGGATGGATCAATCCAGAAAAAGTGCCTGACCCTAGTCCAACTAATTAGACTTGTCAAAGAGACATCAAGTTATTATTTGAACAGGTGATTTCTTTTTTCAATTCCAACCACAAATTGCATTTTTCTACACAGACCCTGCCCCATAAGGTCTTGGGAGCGATAACTAGCAAAGAAAGGAAGAAACAGCCCACTTTACATGATAAATATATGTGTTTTTTTTAAACAAATTCCCAAGATTTCAATAAAGAACTGGAGACACATACATTGTAATCCTACTTAATTTCTCTCACAATGGTAATCAGGTTTTAAATCTACCATTTTTAATAGTAACTGGGCAACCCCTCTAATAGTTTACCATACAAATTAATACGGGAAAGTCAAAGAACTGGCCTGCGAAGCGGGGCCAGGCTTTGGCTTGCCCGGCTATAGACTACACGTGTATATTTAAAAGAAAATCAAATAAAAAACAATTAAAAAATATATAGAATTCTATACCTATCAATGAAATTTCAGTGTCAATTCTAGTCAGACGCCGCCATTTACAATGTAACTCAATGATAATAGGCAGGGTATTCCGATAACGGAACAAATCTCAACTTTTCGGATGCATAATAAGTGTTCCGAGTGAAAACGGAAGCGGTGCATGAAATACCGAATGACACCTTTAAAACAGTAAAATGAAAGGCATTTTTTATGGACTTCCCCGTTCACAGGCTTTGCCTAATTGCATATTAATAATAAGCTACTGGTATGCATTCGGAGAGCTGTCAATAAATAATTTTTGATTGCGACAAGATTTTTTGAAGAACTGAAAAATATTTAGATCTACTGATTTTAACTGTTTAAATTGACTCAAACTAGCAACAGTGTTGTCGATAAATTTTCTGTGCATAAAAATGACAGTGTCTCAATCAGATTTCATAAAAAGGAGAGTGAAGTGTCTGCTCTGCAAAAATGACCTGTCTGAGGCCAGTGAGGGGTGAATATTGCACCCCAAGGCCTGCAATTATGAAAATTGTTTGCATCGGTGTGTGAATGATTTTGCACGAGTATCAAAAACAAAATCAATTTTTCATAATATGCAGTGAATATTCTTCAAACATGTTTTGGGTTTCATGTCAAAAATAACTTTAATAAGCAAACTTTCGAGGTCAAGGACTTAACAACTTTTAAAACCCTACATAGACAGGACACAAGTATGATTTTGGCAAGCATGTACCTGACTTTGGTGGACATTTGTGAAATTGTTCATGTCGCAAAAATGATGTTCCTGGGTTCTTTATCTTTGATAAAAATACATTTTTTCTAATGACCCGGCCAATTTTCAACACAGCAGACGCCATTTTGGCTAATGCAGACTGTTGCAAATATCTCTGTGCACAAACGCTTGTTCATAGCAGTAGCGAAAGAAAAAGGCATTCAACAAGCGTTTGCAGAACTTGCCAAAATTTAAACCAGTCTATGTTTACGTTCATTCGGAATTGTTTTGCTGTTATCGCTAGATACACGTGTTATATGTGTCCGGCTTATCAATTTAACCAACTTTATCAATTTAACTGTTCACCGTTACTAGCAACTCGTGCAAAGATGAACGGATTGCCAGAGGTAAAATTTCTTTTAAATATGAGTACAGCACTAATCTAAGCATACTAGATCTATGTAAAGCTGAAAGTTTATTTGAAAGACCACAGACACTTGGGGTGTGTGGACATTGCTTTCTACGGATCTCCCAATGATCTATCAATATAGATCAACATTTTTCCATTTCCAGATTATTACATGGTAAAATGCAAATTTTATGGTATTGATTTTAAACTTTTTAATTTGAAATTTCTATTTTAGTTTATATATTATTTTGAACAGGTTGAAGATATTTTATAATTCAAAAATATATTATTATTAGACAATATATCCAGTTGTTGCCTACTGTAACTAATAAAAAAAATCCACAATTTTTGAGGTTTATAAGTTTTGCTTCTGCCAGTCATTAAAATGCTGTCAACTAAAATTTAGTTCAATTTATGTTATTATATAACCATCTGGAACATACAATTGTTTCTGCATCACACCCTTTTATATTATTTTTTGTATGTAGATTTACATGGGTATGAGTGCAGCAATGTGCTAGAAATTAAAAGTAGCAATAAACTTACAGACATGTTGTGATAAATTGAAGTTACAAAGCTAATATTAATGTTAATTACTGGAGGATCTATACTTAAAAAAAAGAAGATATTAAAAAAATAAATGTGACTTAAATTATGATAAATTAATAGAGGCAAGAACTGGGTAACTAGTTTTAGCATGCCAAGTGCACCCTTCCTGTATCCACTAGATCTACGAATATAAACATAATACATGTAAGATCTAATACAAAATATGTTATAAGAACTTTTAGAAATAATGCTATGCAAGTATGGAATAATTTACCTTTATACTATATATTAAAGAGTATTCGACTCTATATGCTTTTAAAAGAAATAAAAAACCCAAAACATTTACTTGATATACAATTTAAATGAATCTGATTATTGCATGTGTCTGTCAATTTGAATGGTTGTTGTTTATGTTTTTGATATGTGTGTACATATTTGTGAATTTCTCAATCTTGTTTAATTGAAGGCCATATTGTAAATAAGATATGTATTTCTTAATATGTTACCTTCATGAAATAAAGTGTTTATTATCATTATTATTAATTTTTGTTATTATTATTATTATTTGTATTATTATTTGTATTATTCTTATTATTATTACAGATAGCAAATGTACGCAGTTGACCTTATCAGAAGTTTTGGGTTTATTTGATCACTACGTAATCATGAGACATTAGAATGAGTTACTGTAACATTTTATCATGTTTATAAAGAGTGCTCAAGTAAAGTTTACAAGTTTTAGGTGTAAAATCTAGATTTTAAACTTTTGACACACATTTCAAGTCATTCATAAGAATGATAAAAGTACATTTATTTCAAACTTGACATTGTGATATGCTCACATCTGATAATGAAATGTGAAAGGACAAGAGCTTCACATGTACAAAAGTATTACCAAATCAATGTTTAACCCATTACTTCATGAGCATTTTGTGAAAAATGGCTGTTTTCATTGAAAAGTCTCCCGTAACAAGTTCAAATTGCTATAATACTATAAAAACTGCTTCAACACTAATCAAACTTGGCACAAATGCTGACTGGACCATTGCCCTTGCAACAACATGCTCAGGCTTAGATTTTCTGTTACCATGGCAACGAGGGGACATCTCAAAATTGCCAAAAATCACTATTTTGCGCTGATTTTTTCCATCAAAATTGATTTCAAAGTGCTGCAACTTCTCAATGGATTGAGATAGAGTCAAATGCTTTTCAGCGTTGGTTACACGTTACCTTATGATCAATCTGGGGTCATTTACAGCCTCTCACAAGTCCAAAATTTTCTTGGCGATGAGGGGGACCCCGCCCCACTTCAAACCCCCCCAAACAGAAGGGGGCACATCCCCCTTCTGGCAACCCCCTGATGTATCTTTTGGTTGTGGGGCCGCGCCAAAAAAGAGGTCACTTTTTTTAACAACATTTCTCAAACAAAAATAAGTGTTTGGGGCCTAAATAAGGCATTTTTTCATCATTTAAGACAACAAAAAAGGGGGGGGGGGTGAAAAAGGCGTTAAAAGGCGTGTATATGAAGTAATGGGTTAAGGGCTAACAGGGAGCCAGAATTTGACAAGTAATCCCTTATAACTGCAAATCGGCTCTTACTCGGCAGTAATTAGTGTAGCCGCTTTTTCATGAAGAAACCAGTGCTGATAGTGAAAATTGTGATTGGCATATTTTAATTAGCCAGGTCAGGTGTTTCTAAAAAGGCTGATAACACTGTAGCAATGTGAGGATACATTCAAATTTATTACATAGATAATGCACGTGGAGACAAATGAGAACACAGTAAATTTTTGATATCCTTTTAACTCTAAGAAAAATGTCAATTATTAATTGATGACTGTTTATATTTTCTAGAAAAAGTAAGCAAAACATTATTTTGTTTCATATGACAGGAATGAATTGCATTTACAATCCTAGGTATTGTTGAAAACTCATTGTTTTACATGCCAGATTAAGTAATTGGACCCCATCCTTGTTTGTACGTGACTGCTGGGGAAAAATAATGTTATGCTTAATTAAAGAGGTGACACTTCCTATATTTTTATCTGATATCGAGTTGTAAGAGCCGATTTGCAGTTATATGGGTAAGAGTTCGATAAGACTCCCTACGGTCGTCTTAATACAAACTCTTACCCATACATAAATACATGTAGTTTTTTCCCCCAGAAATTCCCCTCCACCTGAGTTTAAAAAATAGTGTTTGATATGATAATGATTTTTGTATCACAGTGTTTTCTCCATTTCATTTTTGTGTCGCCTCTACGTAGTAGTGGCGACATATAGGGATCACTTCTCCGTCGTCTGTCTGTCCGCACTCACAGGAGAGTAATTATGTGGCTAGAGGGACAATAGGTAACTGTTCTTTCTCTTTGATGTCATTCATTCCGTAATGCTTTTATGTGGCTATTTTCTTTTGGGTGGCTAAAAAGAACAATAGAGAGAACAAAAGAGTAGCCACATAATTACTGTACTGTGAGAACGTCCGTCTGTCTGTCCGTCACAAAACTTGTCCGGACTACTCCTCATAAACTACTGGTGCAATTTCATCCAAACTTTACAGGAATGTCAGTACCAAGTCTAGTTGTGCATATTGTCAGCATTTTCCGGTTCAATGATTTTTGTCAGAGTTATGGCCCTTTAATAATTTTTATTTTTAAAGTTTGTCCGGACTACTTCTCTTATACCACTAATGCAATTTCAATGAAACTTTACAGGATTGATCTGTAGCTCAAGTCCTTGCGCATATTGCACGGGTTTTCCGGTTGAATGATTTTTGGCAGAGTTATGGCCCTTTGATAAAAAGGTGTTTTTTTTCTGTGTGTTGCCAGATACACAAAAGCTTGTCCGGACTACTCCTCATTAACTACTTGTGCAACTTTATCCAAACTTTACTGGAATGATCAGTACCAAGTCTAGTTGTGCACTGTCCGTCTGTTTGTCCGTCTGTCACAAAACTTGTCCCAACATGAAATTGGCCATCATGAGGCGACACATGTGATCACTGATCGCTCTTGTTTTCCTCAAACACCTGCCAGGATTCCTTCAATTTAAAGACTAAAAGTGTAAAAGCTGTCAGTATAGTTATCCTTCCATAAAAAGTACAGATTGAAATTAGTGAATAACAGATGCAAAGTTTGATGGTGAACATTCCCAGGGTATTTTTTAGCTGTTAAAAAAAAATTAGCCCTATTTTCCTATTCATCTACTCAGTTTCACAACAGTTATACTAGTTTCACAAACAACACATGTGTTCTTATGTGTAAACCATGTCAATCAGTGACAAATTTTTATCCCAGTGAAGCACATGGATAGCTAGTCAGCCAATTTGCATAAAACTGTAAACACTGGAATGGTCCACAACCATTATACAGTATTATCTGTAACTGCATTGTAAAGAACATTTTGCCAGATGTACAACTTGTATAATTATATCAGTATTAAAATAATGTTGTAAACAGAGCTCTGTTTATAACAGATATAGAAACGTATTATAATACTGCATGTTTGTAACGTCGCTTTTCATTGGATAATCATGACATTTATGTAGTTTTATTTACATGGCTGCTGTCCTAGCAGCTCGGGTTATATTTACAAACAACCATTTATATAGGGCCATATAACCTGTCAAAAATTTTTATAACTGATAATATAGACATAATGACAATATTGCTGTCATATTCAGCTGCATGATCTATAAATGTCTCTACTTACCTGTAACATGTGATGTTTTGTGGTTCTGTTACTGTAGATATTTCAATCAGAATTTGTAAAACACTGTCATCTCACCTTGCATTATATAGAATTTTTTATAGGACCATCCACGAAGATTGATCCCAGATCTATGTAAACAGTTTTACCATCTTGGTTGGGTGACAGGGACAGGGGGGGGTATCAGCATAAAGGATGGGTAGGTGCTCTTGTTTCTTTATAATGTAGTGTTTTAAGTTTACTGATAAGGTTTAGGTCATATTGTGCAGGATTTAAATTGAAAGATAAATTACATATTTTTAATATACATGTTTATTACCCTTCCAGATTTTTTCCGCCTTTTTGATTGGATATCGATCACCCGAAAGAAATTGATATAACCGAGCCAGACGGGTAATATACACACTAAATTTCCCCGTTGGGTACCCCACGTTGTAAACAACATGCACTGAGGTGATGCGCGTACGGTATGTGACGTCATGATGTGATGAAGGGGTATCCTAAAGGGAATCTTATTTCGACGTTTCATTTGAAACAGCAATGATTTTTTAAAAAATGGTCTAAACACGGCAGGGGAAGGGTAATAAAATTATTATTTTGGTTTTGGAGTGATATATGTGGATATATTTCCTGCCAAGATAAAATATCACCCTCGCCTAACGGCTTGGGTGATATAAAATCTTAGCAGGTAATATATCCACATATATCACTCCAAAACCAAAATAACATATAACATGAATATAGTTAGCTAATATAATTAATTATACATGCATATAGCAATATTTTAATGTAGACATGTGAGAAAAATGTAAATAGATGAAAGGGAGGGAAAACAAGTCTCCATGTTTTATAAACACAATGTGTTAATTACTGTTATAGACAAACTAATCAAGTTTGGTAACTTAATTAGAAATTTAATGAACAATCATACTAATTTCTGAGAAGCATTAATTGAAGAGTGTTCCCAAATACATGAGTTACTGGTAATATTTGCAGCATTCTCTATTGCTATAGTGTTTTTTTTTCATTTTCAGAGACAGAATATATATTGCACCTTCAGGAGTTCAGAAAGAGAGGATACATGTAAAGTTTATGCATTATTTTACAAAAAATAAACATGTTTAACTTATATCAGTATTAAATAATAATTAACAAACTTGCTATGTGCACTGTATGTAATGTCACTCTTTACCTGCAATATGTTTATGTTTATTTCCAGGTTTCCAAAATATGATCAATATCAGATTTTATTATTGATAAACTGGTTGTGATCACCTAAAGTCATTTTGAGTTATTGCCCTTTAACCTTTTCCCTCATGAGCATATTGTGAAAAATGGCCATTTTCATTGAAAAGCCTTCTGTTACAAGTTCAAACTGCTACGAAACTATGAAAAATGCTTCAATACTAATCAAACTTGGCACAAATGTTGACTGGACCATTGCCTTTGTAATGACCTGCTCAGTCTTAAATTTCCTGTTACCATGGCAACAAGGGGAGGTCTCAAAATTGCCAAAAATCACTAATTTGCCTCGATTTTTTTCCATCAAAATTTATTTCAAGTGGCTGCAACTTCTCAGGGGATTGAGATAGAGTCAAAGGCTTTTCAGCGTTGGTTACACGTTACCTTATGATCGACCTGGGGTCATTTTTAGCCTCTCACAAGTCCAAAATTTTCTTGGTGATGAGGGGGACTACCGCCTCCCTTCAAACCCCCCAAACAGAAGGGGCACATCTGGCAACCCCCTGATCTATCTTTTGGATGGGGGGTGGCGCTGAAAAAGTGCTCACTGTTTTAAGCAACATTTCTCAAACGAAAACATGTGTTTGGGGCCCAAATAGGACATTTTTTCACTATTTAAGGCCTAAAAGAGGGGGGTCGAAAGTGCGTTGTTTCACGTATATATGAGGTAATGGGTTAAGGCTTTTATGACGTTTAAGGTATATCGTGGCATTTTATGATCATTTATGCTGTTTTTGTGAAAGCTTTTGTTCTTCTTGTAAAATAGAAATTTCCCTGGAGGTCATGACTGTAGCTAGGAATGAGAGTTTTGTGGCAGCATGGTTAAATGGTTAACACGTCAGACTTTTTTGTAAGGATCTAAAGTCTTTGTGTCATAACCTGACTGAGGCAAGCCTTTGTTTCCTTGGCTAACAAACTTTATTGTCATTACTCTGGAATGGATTTTGAGTACTTGTCTTTAAGCTTATAGCTTCTTACACAATCAATGTAAAATCAGTTCTATGAAATAGAGTTAATCTCGCCTGAGCACTCAGTGGTCATAATTTGTCAGGCATCCAAGTGTCTGTTGTCAATTTTTTGAAAACGATTTCTCTGAAACCACAAGGTCAAATTTATAGAAATTTTCCTGGGATGTTCCTAGCATGAAGCTCTATTGAAATTGTTCAAATGATTCTGCTCCATTGAACATCTGGGTTGGAAGGGCCAAAAATAGATTTAAACATTAAATCTTGGATATTTAGCATGAAACATTGTGTAGTGGACCTCTACAAAAATTCGAATTATAGCCCTTGGTGTCAAATTTGGCCCCACCCTGAAATGTTCTTATTTTGGATATACTTATGGATAACGGTTAATCATCAAGAATGGGTTATAGTTTAGAATAAAAATTGAGGGTTAATTTTTCACCAAGGCATGCTGCTTTATAGGAAACTATTTTAGCAACAAAGTGCCTAATGGATGTTAATTAAAAAGTTAATTTTACATTCAACATTTTTTTTTTCATGTAACAATCTTTTTTATAACCAAGATAGAAAGTAAACAACAAGCTGTATTATATTTATAGAGTGAAGATTTGTTTGTGCAAACTATAGAAGATAAAGATTTAGATGGTCCACCACCAGCCAAGAAACTCAAGAAGAGTCAATGTACACCTCTCTTTATGAATGCATATACCATGGCAGGTAAAATAAATGATTAAATTTTCTTATTTTTTGTAAGAAAGTTTCATAATCACTTACTGATATTAGAATGATATTGCATTTGAATTGATGAGTGTATGACTTTTTGTCTATCATAAGAGAAGTTTGGTAGCAAGTGTAAGACTGCTGCTGGCCTTGAACTGGAGAATTTGCTTGCCTGTTGATGATGTCAATTCTTGTTTGATAATAATTGTCACAAAAGAAATTTATTTAAATTTAATATGCCATTTATGTCAGTTCATTCTGTAAAATTTTATCTTGTTTAGGAATGTGTTACTTAGATGTATAGTCAGTTTCTCATTGGGCAAGGTCAGAATTGACGATAAAAATATGGAATAAAGTAATTTCAGTTTAGTGGTATTGTTTAGTCAAGACCTTATTATTTGGTGCTGCATTCATGATATTACTTATTCATTGAAGTTTTTACCCATTGTTAGATGTATCACTTATGTGATTCTGGTAATTTTATACATGTAGGTTGTTGAGGTATGTTGAAAGATTGTACATGTTGTACATGTTGTACATGTTGTACATGTTGTAACGTTAAACTTTCATGAGATAAAGAACATTCTAACACTCACGTGATTTTGCCACTATAGACAAAGAAGGATAAAAACTGACAATAAACACCAGTTAGGGACTACTTGTACATGCGCTGTTATGTTTTCACCCTCAATTGTATAGTTAACAAAGCATTTTAAAGCAACAATAAAAAGCATTTTTATTTATATTTTCAGTTCGTATAATGTTTTCTTTTCATACAATACCGAAATAATATCTCACATACACTAACGCCACATATTAGATTCATATCAGTTAATAAATAGTTTGACAAAACGGCGCCAATCCGTAAGCAGCGTAATGACGTCATCCTAAGTAAACAACTCATTCATAAACAAGCTGACGTTATTTCATACATACAAGAATGATAAATGGGGCACTGATGTAAACACAATACGACGTAAGTTTTTATTGTTGAAAACTTGATAAAATAACGTTTTTTTCTTATTATTTCTTTTGTTTGATAATTTCTATATCTTCACAATAGTAGGGTGCGAAAATCGAACAGCGTTATACGAAAATCGGCACCGGAAGTTATTTCCGCTTGAAAAATAACGTCAGTGATTTTCCTTATTTTATCGTGTTAGAATCGAAATAACAAAGGCCGGAGAGGTGTATATCGGCTATTTAACCTAAATTAAACCTTAATTTAACCTACGGCCTTCGTGGTCAATTCCTACGCATCAAAACTCCAAACCGGTGTTAAATACTTCTTCTACTTCTACTTCTATGTTGATCTCGTCTGTAAATCCGCTGTGCAGACATCAGCGACGAGTGGTGATGTGAAATGTGCTCCATTAAAAACGTGGGCTAAAAACCTGTCCCCCATGTGCGGCACCAGGCGTTCGAGTTAAAATAATGTGAAAACGTAGTGTGAAGTAAAATCCAACATGTTTGTACACTATACACGATTTTAATAATTTACACATATACGTATGACTGGACAGCGGTTTTAAAACTGTCCAGATTGTCCACAGATGTGATGTTAGTTGGTAAGTTGTTCCAATAAGGTACAGTTCTTGGAAAGAATGAATGTTTGTACGCATTAAGTCTGCAGTGATAAGTGACGAACTTTACCGAGTTTGTGTATCTTGTAGATAGTTGTGGGTGGTATTCAACTGGTACAGCCACCAGGTTATTAAACACTTTATACATAAGAATTAAGTCCGCACACTGACGACGTTGTTCAAGTGTTGGCCATTTTAGGTCGTGTAGCATTGATGTTACGCTAGATGGATTGTTACGATTGAATGGTTTATTCATGACGAATCTTGCCGCATTCCGTTGTATTTGTTCAAGTTTCTTTGATGTATTGAGTTGTTGTGGATTCCAAATTGGTGACGCATATTCCAGTTTAGGTCGAACCAAAGTTTGATAAGCCCTTTCCTTTACTGTGGTCGGGCAATGTTTTAAGTTCCGTTTGATGAAACCAAGAGTACTAGAAGCTTTTGCTGTGATTGAATCGATGTGTAGGTTGTATTTCATAGTATCTGCTAGTTCAACTCCCAGATATGGATGGTTTTTAACAATATGTAGTGATTGATTTTTCATTTTGTAGGCCAATACAGATTTGTTACCTTTATTTGTTATTGACATGGTTGCACATTTATCGACGTTAAATTCCATTTGCCAGATATTACTCCAATCAACTAAGGTGTCCAGGTCTTTTTGTAAAATATTATGATCTTCACTGGTGAGTATGGGTCTATAAATGACACAATCGTCAGCAAATAGGCGAATTGATGACTTAATATCCGAGGCGATGTCGTTAATATATAGTAAAAACAATGCAGGACCAAGCACGGTTCCCTGGGGCATCGCCAGATGTTACCAGTGACGGTCTTGATGATTCTCCGTCTACTACTACTCGTTGATAACGACCGTTAAGGAATTCATTAATCCATAAGTTGGTTTCATTACATATACCATAATATTGCATTTTCACAGAGAGACGCTGATGTGATACTTTATCGAAAGCCTTAGAAAAGTCAAGCACCGCCATATCAACCTGGTGACCAAGATTAACACTACGAGCAATGTCATCTGTAGTTAATAGAAGTTGAGATTCACACGAGCGTTTAGCCCTGAACCCATGTTGGTTTTCATGAAGAATGTTCTAGCTGTCTAAATGGTTCATTACTTGTGAGACTATTATATGTTCAATCATTTTAGAAACAACTGCGGTTAAGCTTACAGGGCGGTAGTTCGATGGTTTGGTTCTGTCGCCTTTTTTGAAAATTGGTACAATGTTAGCGTTTTTCCAGTCCAATGGTACTTCAGATTTATCAATTGACTGTTGGAATAAAGACCGTATAATTGGTGCTATTTCAGTTACACATTCTTTCAAGACTATGATAGGTATTTTATCTGGCCCAGAAGCTTTCTTGGGATTAAGGTGACAACGTAGTCAATTATCACTTAAAATACCTAAAATGAGATTTTTTGCTTAGTAGATTTATCAACCTTTTCTGAACACATTCGTGATTTAATTTTGGAAGCAGTTAGTCCAAAAAATGTGTTTTTTAACGTTTTAAAACGGTACCTGTACCATTTTTATCTGCTATTCGCGTAACCTGTCAGTTATCGATAACGCTCCGCCCCCTGTTGAGGCATCAATGAGGGAAATCGGTAGTTCCATATATGCGTGAATTACCGGTCCATACTACTTATATTTGTTTGAATTCATGTATCGTACAAATACCGTACATCTTTTATGAATATCTTTTACCTTTTATTTAGCCTTTTTTATAAAATAAGAAATTGTCGGCCAGTGTACGTAACATAATGTATGAAACAAATAATTAAGCATAGCGGCAAATCGCCCGACCACGGGGTTGATTAAAAATATAGTTGCTAAAATATCCATAATGTGTGAAAATAATTTGTCTGTCCCGTCAATCTGATAGATATTACATTGAGTTTATGGACTTTTGTACGGATTCAAGGGCTTGCTTTACATTCATGGAATAGTTTGCCAGATGATGTAAAATGTATATCAAATCCAACTTTATATAAAAATTCTGTTAAAAGCCATCTTGCTTCAATATGGGCTGCGCAACATCAAAGTGACTTTTTATATTACTAATTAAGTGGCGACATAGGTTTCGCCAAACTTTATTGTTTTTAGTTATCTTATTTTTTCCTGTGCTTTTCTTTATGTGATAATGCAAAACTACTGTGATTGAATAATTTGAAGATTATCTCACTGTCTATTTTTATTTGAGGAATGAATGTCTCTCTGGTTTTATCTTGTTTCCATCTATTTGGTTAACAGGACCCCATTGGAAATAAGCACACCAGCTTAATGGGCTATCCTTGTAACCATAGATCACTATTTAACAAAACCCTTGTATTGAAATTTTATTGAAATTCTTTTACTTCTTTTATATCATGTTTATCAGTAACTTTAAGTTAACAATATTCTGTGATAATTATAATTCTGACTATTGTAGTCTTAACCTGAAATGTGATTTTATTAATTTATTCATTTGCTTCTTTTTTAAATACATTTATCCTATGCCTCATCTGATCTCAGTCATTAACTAAATTTGTTTTAATTTATTATTAATATGAAATGATATTTTTAATTTGGATAAACTGTTATTTTATATATATATTTATTTATATATATATCTTATTATGTAACTGTGATCTATGTTGTTGCTAAAATAAAATAAATAAAAAAAACGTAGGGGTCCGAGAGAGAACAGCCGATTTATGACACTTCGTTTGATGCGGGTCGGACTAACTTTGAATCGGCATAACTTTTTTAATAATCAAGCAATTAACATGCGGTTTAAAGCACATGAAAGGGAATTCATTTACGGAGGGAACCGTGTCAGGGATTTTTGTTTGCTCAATCAGCGACTTAATTATCTTTAATTACGTAATATGTATGGTGAAAAAAGTCGCATAAAATGTTTGACGTTACGTAATATTTTTTTGAGAAAAGATAGAAAAAATTTGAGACACGGTTCCCTAGATATTATAAGTATGTTTATTTTCCAAAGGTTTGATGACAAAAAAATAAAAAAATGACTTTGATATGACGATTTAAAATTTTAGGATTTTTATTAAAAATCAATCATTTACAAAGGCATTTTTTTCAAATATGTTATTTTTTATGATGATCAACGACATTTATTACATGCTTTTCGGTGGTTTATAGAAATATATCAATGATTTATAAACTGGTAATTTCACTGTTTGAAACAGTGAAATTATCAATTTGATAATTTCACTGTTTTGAATATTTGAGCCCGGTACGTTGTTTCAGTGAAATACAAGCGTTCACAATAATGGAAACCAACTTAATGACGTGACGTCGTAAATGACGTCACGTTGTATTATTATTTGGCGCCCTTTTCATTAAGTACTATGCTTAAATGTCTTTTTAAACGTTTCTTTGCATATAATAAAAAGAAAATTTGTTTAGTTTAGTGTAAGATCAAAATATATTTCACCTCGTGAACACCAAAAGTTCATATTTCACTCGTGGCTGCGCCACTCGTGAAATATATCTTTTGGTGCTCACTCGGTGAAATATATTTCGATCTTACACTGAACTAAACAAATATCCTCTATTTAATGCACAAATATTAAATAAATAACAATTATTACTGAAATAAGTTGGTTTAAATGACATTTATGTGAGTACCACGGAAAGTGTCTGTTGTCACCTTAAGTCTGTTAATACACTTAACAACACCATTTAATGTAACGTTTATCTTGGGCATCGAGCAGTATGGCGAAGATCCTTTATTTGGTAGATTGTCCAAAGATTCTTTCGTAAATACTGAACAAAATTGGTTGTTAAGCATTTCTGCCTTATGACTAGCGGATTCGGCGATTTGACCGTTGTTTTTCAATGTTCCAATGTTCACGCTGTCTTGTTTACGAGACTTTATATATTTCCAAAAGGATTTCGAAGATTTATCATTTTCTGGATCTAGAAGATTACTAATGTAATTGTAGTAGGAAGTATGTAATTTATTCCTTACAGTTTTGCGAAGGTCACTAAATTTTTTATAGTCACTTGCGTTATTACTTTTTCTTGCAATGTTATATAAGTAGCGTTTTTTCTTAATAAGCCGTTTGATATTCTTTGATAACCACGGTATGTCCGATTTCCCTTTTACAGTTTTCTTCGGTATATATTGTTCCATTGATTCTAATAATATTTGTTTAAAATTGTTCCAGTTTACATCAACTGTGTTGTTATGCATATTACGCAGAAACTCGTGTTGAAATGATAGCACACGATCTTTAATTTTCCGCCAGTCCGCTTTTCTATAATTAAACACGGTTCTCGGCGGTAGTTTGTTAATAACCGGCTTGATAAATGTTGTTACAGATAAGATATCATGGTCACTAAGCCCGATAGGTGGTCCGACTACGTGTCGTTGTATGAGTGTTGGATGGCTCGTAAAGAATAAGTCTAAAATCCTACCCTTACGTGTAGGGGTTCTGTTAATTTGTTCAATAAAACAGGTTGAAGTTATATCGATTAATTTATCACAAAAAGTCTTATCCCTAGCATTTGGCAATGTACATCCATTATCCCAGTCCACGTCTCCGAGGTTGAAATCACCCCCTAGAAATTTCTTCATATTTTTGTATGGAGAAGTACAGTTCGCTTTTAATAGTGAATTTTCAAGTTCATCTAATGTTTCTAAAGTAGCCTTTGGTTCACGGTAGAAAGATCCAACTAAAACTTGTTCGTTTTTATCGATTTTGATTTTAATCCATTTTATTTCACAAGCAGAGTCTAAATCTGAACATTCCTCAGCTTGTAAGCCAGGTCTAACCATTATAATAACACCACCGCCGCGTTTGTTCACTAATTCTGACCGATCTTTCCTGAATATTTGATATTTGTCAATAGACGGGATATTTGTTGGTAAAAGTTCAGCACTCAGATCCTCACTATTCAAATGCGTTTCAGTGCCTAAGATAACATCCGGCGCTTTACTAGCTATAATGTTGTATAACTCCGTTTTCTTATTACGAATACTCTGGAAATTTATCACTTCAAATTTCAAGTGAGACTTATTAACGTGGAGTGATTTAGAAAGTGAATGAATACTATCCACAAATAGCCGATATACACCTGTTATTTCTTAAATATATAAGAACACTCTTCAGTCATGTATTGTAAAACTGTCAAAACCTAAAATTAAAGAAAAATGTACAATAATGCCACATCTTACATTTAACTGTTATAGTCTGATTTTATTGACTTGT